AAACAATATATAATATCTTGGGGTAATCCTTACCAAACAAGTAAAAGACCTGTATAATAAGAACTTTGTGGCTAAAGAAAGAAATTAAAGAAGATACCAGAACATGGAAAGATCTCCCATGCTCTTGGATAGGCAGGATCAACATCGTAAAAAGGGCTATTGTGTCAAAAGCAATCTACAGATTCAATGCAATCTCCATCCAAATCCCAGCACCATTCTTCACAGACCTTGAAAGAACAATACTCACCTTTATATGGAAAAACAAAACGTTCAGGATAGATAAAACAACCCTGTGAAATAATAAAGGAACTTTCAGAGGCATCATCATCCCTGACTTCAAGTTCTATTATGGAACTATAGTTCTGAAAACAGCTTGTAACTGGCACAAAACTAGACAGGTAGACCAATGGAATCAATTTGAAAACCTGGATATAAATCCACACACCAACGACCACCTGAATTTTGATACAGAATCTAAAGTTATGCAATGGAAAAAAGAAAGAATCTGGCACAACTGGATGCTGGTGTGTAGAAGACTGCAGATAGATCCACATGTGTCACCATGAACAAAACTTTGGTCCAAATGGATCAAAGACCTCAAAGTTAAATCCAGCCACACTGAATCTCTTAGAAGAGAAAGTGAAAGATATCCTTAAACAAACTTGTATAGGAGACAGCTTTCTGAACATAACATGAGTAGCACAGACACCGAGATAGACAATGAATGGGACCTTCTAAAACCGACAAACTTCAGTAAGGCAAAGGACACAGTCGACAAGACAAAACAGTAGCCCACAGAATGGGAAAAAGATATTCGCCAACCCCACATCTGACAGAGGGTTAATTTCCAAAATGTACAAAGAACTGAAGCTAGTCACCAAAACACAAAATAACCCTAATAAACATTGAACAATCCAATTAAAAAGTGGGGTATACCCAGGTTCAGGGGGCCTGTGTTGGTCCTATGCTGGTATTCCAGCTGTCAAACTAGAGTCCATGAGCTCCCCCTTGTTCAGGTCAGCTATTTCTTTGGGTTTACCCATCACTCCTCCTACTCTGCAACTGGATTCCAGGAGTTTATGTCTGTTTCTGATTCCATCAGCTACTGAATGAAGGCTCTAGGGTGGCATAGAAAGTAGTAATCAATCTCATTATCGAGGAAGATATTTAATGTAGACTTTCTACTATTGCTTCGATTGTTAGTTGGAGTCATCCCTATGCATTTCTGGACATTTCTCTAGTTAGGAGGGTTGGACAGTCTATGGGGCCTCTGGTAGTGGATCAGTAGTTATCCCTAGTATATGACAAAAAACAACATATATGACAACAACAAAAACAACAACAACACACACATGTATATGACAACAACACACACACATGTATATGACAACAACAACACACACATGTATATGACAACAACACACACACATGTATATGACAACAACAAAACACACACACACACACGTGGTACGTACTCACCAATATATGGATATTAGACATAGAGTAAAGCATTACCAGACTATAATCCACACTACCAGAGAAGCTAGCAAACAAGGCAGACCTTAAGAGGGACATACATGGTCACCTGGAGAAGATGAAAGTAAACAATCTCCTGAGCAAATTGGAAGCATGGCGGAGAGGAGATGGGTTAAGAGAAAGAGAAAGGGAGAAAAGGAGGGCCAAGAAGCACATGAGGGAGTAGTAAGATTGAATCTGGGGAGGAATAGAGGAGAGCAAGAAAAGAGATACATTAATTGAGGGAGCCATTACAGGTTTAAAGAGAAATCTGGCACACTCCAACTAAGAATCTAAGCAATAGTGGAAAGGCTACTTAAATGCCCTTTCCCTATAATGAGATTGATGATTACCTTAAATGTCATCCTAGAGCCTTTATCCAGTAGCTGATGGAAGCAAAAGCAGACATCCTTAGCTATTTACTCAGCCCAAATTCTGGAATCAAGTTGTAGAGAGGGAGGAGTGATGAGGAAATGGGTCAAGAACAGTCTGGAGAAAGCCAGAGAAACAGCTGACCTGAACAAGGGGAAGCCAAGGACACCAGACAGATAACTGGGAAGCCACCAATACTGAGCCAAACCCCCTGATATTGGTTGTCATTTAGGAGGACTGTCCAGCCTGTGGGGCCTCTGGAGTGGAACAGTATTTATCACTAGTGTATGAATGGACTTTGGGAGTCCATTCCACATGGAGGGGTACTCTCTTAGCCTAGACACATGGGTGAGGTCCTATGCCCTGCTACAAATGATATTACAGACTTTGCTGTTCCCCTATGGAAAGAAGACCTCACCCTCCTTTGGGAGCAGAAAGGGAATAGGATAAGGAATCTATGGGGGGCAGTGGAGGAGTGTTGGGAGAGGGAACTGGGTTTGACATTTAAAACAAGATTGTTACTGACTGAAATTACAAAAATATAGAAGGAAAAAATAAATAATTAATTGAACCAGAAAAATAAAGGAAAACAAAACAGTGAGAATTGAACTAATTTCTTTGTCTCACAAGATAAACTATACATGAACTCTTGACCTTGTCATAGAAAAGTAGATTAAGCTTACATATCTGTAAAACACTAAAAAAGTATAGCTAGAATTGAGTAAAATTATGATTTTTCTCAAAACAATGTGAGAAGAAATAAGAATGCAGTTGACTTATACTGGATATTCAGTAGAGGATAATATGTTTTTGCTCTCTTTGTGACAGTAAACACAGTTCTCAGTTCTGTCTCCAATTAATTAAGAGAAAAGAGTTTCTAATTAAAATCAGACAAAGTTGGCTAATGGAATAGACTAATCATGATGAGATACTCATCCAGAATTTTATTTTCTTTCATACAAAATTTTTAGGTTTTTCTTGATTGTTTTTTTAACTGATGATTGTATTATTTAATTACATCTGCCAACAGCAATGATAAGTGAACAAATGAATGAAGGAACTTGTGACACTTTCAAGTCAACCAATTTAGCTTAAATATTTCAGTTAGAATAAGAGAAAAGGATACCATAGATTGGTTGATAAAATATAGTACAGGTCTGTCAAAGTGACACAGTAGCTAAGGGTGCATGCTACAAAGTATAAAAGCCTTGGATCCCCCAGGGTGCAAGCAGAGAAATAAGTAAGTTCTCTTCTGATGACCACATACATCCTGTGTCACACAAGCATACAACCACACATACATATACAAAATAAATATGTGCAAAAAAATTTAAAGGATAGAATATAATAACCTGATTAATAGGAACTCTGAATTATTTATATAGTTGAAAGTTCCTGGATATTGCAAAGCAAATTTCTATTCTCATGTTAAGAAGGAACCCATCTTTCATATCTATAGTGCTCACTTACACATGGACCTCATAATGTAAATCATTTAAAACACATCTGCAAAAGGTAATAAAGAAATCCCATGTGATACACAGGTCAGTTAATCATAGAGGAATATGAACAAATATTGATTTCTGATACTGTTTTCTAAGTAAATAATTATGCTAATAATATGAACTACCTACCAAAGAAATACAAACCCAGTTTTTAGAGCTGATTGTAGAGGAAATGTCTATTAAAGCTGATCAAAGTAGGAAATTTAAACAGACTGTTAAGTAATGAATGTTTATGTTAATGCAATGGCAGATCTCTAATCATGACTATACCTATGTTTTAATGGATATGGTTAAAACACTGAATACTTCATGGTTAGTCAGATTTAATATATAATAGTATATAATATGTAATAGTTTTTAATGAAATAAATAAGCATATATATAGCTACATCATTTAAAAATCAGGTTACTGATCTTCCAAAGTTTTTTGAAATTCTGGAGAAAGTTTAAACAAAGAAGAATGATACATAAACATAAAAATGCCATAACAAATTCCATTACTTTGGATGTTAACTTTAAAATAAAAACAGGGTCTGGCACAACACTACATATCTATAATTTCAGCAATCAAGAGTCTAGGCAGGCAGATGACTGAAGTTTAAGGCTTGTATAGTCGCCACAAAACAAGTTCTATGCCAGCCAGGACTATATAGTAAGAATTCCATCCTCAAAGGAGCTGAGTTTAAAAATAACCATGTTATCATTGACCCAGGGGTCCAAATATTATAAGGTGAAATCCTTTATGAATCTTGTAATAAATAACATAGTTGTTTAAAGCGTTTTATGAAATCCCTGAATAAAAGTGGCAAATGATAATATAGCCTAGTATTCTTTAGAAACTTAATAAAAAAATACGTCTACTTTCTTCTTTGACTCCCAGGGTTCTTCAAGGTAAATTCATATTTAGCAATTACCATGGGTATAGCTGATTCACTTTTGACTTACCATTGAAACCAATGTACTTATGGATGTTTCTTCTTACAAAGTATAGTTACTAAACATCCTTTATATGCCTGACAATCAATGAGAGATTCCGAGTGCCTGTCCTCATGGACTTTGGTATAACAGTAACAGCACTTATAAAAAACATTACATGGCACAACACATCACGATCAGTTTTCGGAAAGCTAAAGTAGAATAAAACATCTTAAAGGAGACTAGAGAAATATGAAACCTTATTATTAGAGGAACAAATCTACAATTATATCTTAGTAAAGTCAAGACTTCTATTTTATCAGTTGATAGAACTGGACTTGGCTATAGCTGAGTGGTACAGTGCTTGTGAAGTTAGTACACAAAACAGAAAGAAAAGCAAAAAGAATAAGTACTATCATCAATCAATGGGCTCTAATAAATACTTGAAGAACTTTGGCTTCTTCTATTTTGTTGATTTATATTTTATACATGGACAGTTCAGCCATAATTTGCCAAAAGAATGAATAATTAAATTTATAAAGAATTTTTTCTGATCTAAAAAAAAATTAAACAAAAAATCATTTAAAAGACTGGAAAAGTCTTTATATATTGTCTGTCTTAAATTTCATTCTACATTTCAGCATTAACTCTATTCATAAGACCAGCCACATAAATCTTCTTGATATATAATACCTTGTCTGACTTGTCAGTCTAAATTCTGTGACAGATGTCTTGAATAAACCGATTCCTTGGATGTCAATTATATCCTCCACTTCAGGCTCGGTAGCAATCAATGTTATAGGAAATTTCCAGATTCCATCTGTTATGCACTCAACTTTCAATGTGATATGAGCCCTAGAACAGACAGAGAGACACACACAAGCATACAGACAGATTAAAAAACTAGGACGACAAGGAAAAAGAATAAAATATTAATTTAATATCTAAAGTAAAAATGAAAGTATCTCTTGAGTTCAGCAAGAAAAGGGGGGGCATTACAATTTGAAAGTCCAAAGAAGGTTATTTTTACTTTAGGAATAAATTTTTAGTTAATAATGTAAAGTAATAGGGTGTCATTTGAGATGTAATTTGTGAATCTTCTTTTCTACTTCCTAGTTAGCACTACAAATACAGTAATTATTGCAAAACTGACTACCGGTTTTCTGTAACTAACAGAAATTATCAGATTACTTGGTAATTTATAGGTATATTATGGTAAATGTGGCCAATGAATTATATTTTTTTCATTAGAATCCTTTTCATAGCTTATTAGCTATAAATGACATAGCTGAAAATATTTTTACATAGTATTAAAGAAATAATGTAATACAAACATTGACAGGCAAAAAAATTACAATGAATTAAAAGCATAATAATGCTATATTTAAATGTAAGAGTTATGATTACCGGAATGGTTTTCTTGGTGTAAATATCAGATTGAAAATCAATGAAATTAATTCATGTTTTATGTTAAAATGTTTTCTGTACAAATATAATGTTACAGAGGAGTCCAGGCTAGTCTTCAAATCTTCAGATTCAAATTCTATTTCATACTCAAATTCACGTCTTTTAGGAGTTACTAGGAAAATTAAAATGAAAATATGTCATTTTATTTCATTATATATAAAATGAATATAATTTTATGTGTCATTTTATTTCTAAATATGATTTTAGAAGAAGGGAAAAAGTAAATTTTTATGTAACTTTATTTTCATGTTTACTATAATACCAGGGATATAATACTATGAGTGATTTTGTTAAAGTGAAATACATGAAAATAGATACAAATATAAAACACAATTCTCAACATTTTTAATTCTTTACAATTTAGGCTTATGGAAAAAGAAAGCTAAACAAAAGATGACAATCTAATTATGAAAAAGAAATACTTTTACATGTATGATATCAGAGAAATATATGCATATGATGACTGACATAGGGTGAGGTAAATAGGACTTGTAAGCCAACAAAGCAGTCTCAAAAAGACAACACATTAATTGAAAATCAAGTCTTTAAGTTATGTACAACTAAGAAAGATATACTAGCATTTCAGCAGTTAATAGAGATCATAGTTCTTGCAAAGGATGAAGATATGTTTCCCAGCATCACACTTTGGCTCACAACCACCAGTAACTCCAGTTCCAGTAGATCTGACTTCTGCTTTTGTACTCTGCAGGGCACTTTACATGCTCATGGTGCATATAAACACATGGGGGCCAAACTCTCATCTGCATGAAATTTTAAGTCTTTTGAAAAAAAAATACACGAGTTTAATGTACAGCTATTTATGCAATAAAACCATTCTCAGATAAATGGCTCCAATTTGAAAAACACTGAACTAATTTTCAATGAAGCACAATGAATGGACTAAGAGATGCCATTATAGATACCCTAAGAACTAAAAGTGAACTCTAACCTATTAAATTGGCATTAAAAATATGGTAGAGTAATCTAAGTACCTGATATGATTTTTACTCTGGTGAGTAATGACAAATGTTTAAATAACATAGGTGAATTAAACATTACTATGTATAATTTACATATATATGGAAGTTCCATAATGAGAATTCATACTTTATACATTAATAAGTGACAGTAAAAATTAAATAATGACTACTCAAAAAGTAAGTGTATAAATCCAATATTAAAAAATATATTTAATCACTTGATCCTGGAATCTATGTCTTGTTATTCACAGAGGCTAATCAAAATTTCTGGCAGACAAGTTGCATTACAATTTAATGATAAAGATATAAAGGCAATTTAAAGCTGTGTATGAGGACCCACTGGAGAGGACCACTGTATTTTCAAGTAATAAGTGTTAATTGCTTCAGTGGACTCAATGGGGAAACAACATAACTGAGGGAGGGAATATTGACAGTTATTTTTCTCATCAAGTTTATGAATATGTACATATTAATGAAAAGGAATTTAAAATATTAGAACAAAATTGTGTCCAGTTTCAACTGGCTTCTGCTAACAGGATTTGCCTTGGGAGATAAAAGAATGTATCTGATTTCAACAAAAGAATATGGGGAGAGAGCAGGCCATTCTCTTGCACAGTCCTGTTACAAATGTTATGAGGCAATCTCCATGCTAAATTTCAGAGGGGCTGTATTATTTTGCTTTCCAATTTAGAGTACAGAAGATTTAAAATTTCCTCATTTTTCTCAACACTTCTTAAAATAATGCCCATGTAGATGTAATACTATTTGTTTTTTTTGGGGGGGGGGGATGAGAGCATTTCTCTTGTAATATGTAGCAGTGAATACATTTTCATATAGTTATTAATTATTTCTATATTTTTTCTGGAGGAAACTTTATTGCCTATGTTTTCAATTATGTTATTAGGCATTTTAAATAGTTGTACACATTTCTTATATATTTTGGAGATTAAACCCTTATCAGATATAGTGTTTGCAAACATTTTCTCCCTGTTGATTATGTATTTTGCTATGATTACAACTTGCTAAATGAGGTCAGGTGTGGAATCATTTTGACTTCAGTGTTTGGATTTTGAAATCTAGAATGCACCATTAATAACATATATCCAATTATTTTAATTTATATAGAAAATATGAAATACAAATGAAAGGCATGCAATAAAATTTGTCTTTTAGACAATGATTAAAGTATTACATTTGATTCATATCAGTTTTTCTATTTTTTTAAAGTAAGAAGCACCCTTTGTTTATAAATGTAATATGGCTTTTGTAACAATTCTTAAATCTACAAGGGATTCAATGTTTAGTTCAGTGGCAGAGAACTTGCATAACATATATGAAACCTTGGGTTAAATGTTCAAAATGACACACACAAAAATAGGAAAATCGAGAAAGATGTAGAAGTTTAGTTAAAGTGGAAATACTAAAGTTGAAGGATTTATCATTTGTGTCATAGAAATGAATGTAATAATCACACTTATTATTACTACTGAGCTAACTGCTATGTAAACACAACGAATTTAAGAGAATTCTTGAGTACTTGAATGTTATATTGTAAATGAAAAGTGGATCTTAATTTCTAAGCAACCAGCAGCCGGCATTTTAAAGTAAATGAACTTTTATTTACTATAGTTAAATTTTATAGCCATCTTACCATCAACATCTTCATAAATACTGTTAATAGAATTTCTTTTTGGAAACACTACAAATTCTATCAATTCATGTGATGGACGTGGGCCAAAAAAACTACCAATCATTGTTACTTCCACCTTCTCTTCTATCCGTTTGTTGGCCTGACATTTTATGACAACTGTAGGAGAAATTTTTTTTTTTAGTTAAAGGTTTTAGTTAAAGCCCATTCACAGTGATAAACTTCCTCCCACAAAGCCACACCTACTCCAACAAAGCCACACCCACATCTCCTAAGAGGGTCAATCCCTATAAGCTCATGGGGGTCAAATTACATTCAATCACCCACAGTATCAAAAAGTCAAATACATACATACATACATACATACATACACACACATATATATACACACACACACAAATTTGTACATCTTAATATAGTTCTAATCATCCAACATATATATGTATGTGTATATATGTGTAGAGAGCTGCAAAGTGCCACGCCTTAAAGATGGAGCTGGCTTCTGCCCTCCATCTTCCCGATGGTGAGTGCTCTCTGTATTAAACAATTCCATATTTGGCTAAAAGCTGTGAATCTGGCTTGCTTCTGTGTATGTGGACCTGTCTGTTTTTGTTTTTCACCGCATGGCATTCTGGGGTTGACTGCATAAGGGCTTTTAAGCTGTGGGCTGGGATGCCCCCAGGTCAGAATATACAAGGTTCCTGAATAAACTGCTTAAAGAAGAGTACAAATGTTGCTTTTTCTTTGCTGGTCAAAGTAGATGCCACAGGTGGAGGCCCTTACAGGGAAACCTCTCATCAAAAGACTCAGAACTTTCTGCAGTCAGGGTAAGTGCACTGAAACTTCCTGGTTAAAGTGGGAAGATCAGCGACAAAAGCTGATGTTTGCTCTCTCTGTAAATAAAGAGGGAGCAGGAAGTTCCATGACAAGAGCTGATAATTTGCTCTTCTCCATAAACAAAGAGGTAGCAAGAAAAGTTCCCTGCACAGCGAACCAAAAGTAAAAGCTTAAAAAGAAACTTTGCTAATTTAGCAATGGGCGCTTCTCAATCCCACCCAATTTTTTGGCTCTGAATTTAAAAATCAGGAAAGCACCCTAGAGAGGTTCTTGGAGGAATGCTATACCATTGTGCCTTGGTGCCTTGGTTCGTGGTCTCCTGGAGCCTTACACTCCCTTCATGGGAAAAATTAGGGAGGGATCTTGACTTCGCTGCTAATCAAGGAGTGCTTAAAGGCAGAGCAAGACCTATCTGGAAATTAGTGAGAAGCTGCCTTGAGGACCAGCGATGCAGCGAGGCAGTGGAGAATGGACAGGCTGCCTTAGAAATGCTACAGGAAGAAAGGTCAGAACAGGCAAATAGTGAAAAGGGAGATAAGACAAAGAATAAATTGTACCCAGATCTCACAGAGTTAGAAGACTCGGAGTCTACAGACTCTGAGGAAGAGCTACAGCCTCTCATAGAGCAGATCAAGAAGATAAGAATAAGAAAAAGGGAGAAGAAGAAAGAAAAGGACAGGCCCGAAAGTGGTTGCAAGATGTCTCCATCTAAGGCAATGCCGTGCACCCCACGGTACATGGAGGGAAGGAGTGGCAGCAAGGGGCGCTCTTTTTGCCCTGAGGTCTGGAAAACAGTGAGAACAGAACTACCGTTGGCCTATCCAGTATTTCAAGATCCACAAGGAAACAGATATGAAGAGCCATTAGGTTTTAAGGTGGTAAAGTCTCTGGCTGAATCTGTAAGAACATATGGAATTACAGCCTCCTTTACTGTGGCTCAAGTGGAAGCATTGCACAGACACTGCATGACACCCAATGATTGGACAGGGCTAACTCGTGCATGTTTGAGCCCAGGCCAGTATTTAGAATGGAAAGCTTTTTTAATTGGATATGCTAATGATCAGGCTGCTGCTAATCAGCTGCGGAAATCCGGCCTGGGACAGAGACATGCTACTGGGACAGCGGTGCTTTGCTAATCAGCAGACAGGATACCCAATACAAGTTTTTGAACAAATTAATCACAATGCTATAAAGGCATGGAAATCTCTGTCTAACAAAGGGGAAGTGAGTAGCAATCTTACTAAGATCTTACAGGGTCTCATGGAGCCATTTTCAGACTTTGTTGCTCGCCTGGTAGAAGCCCAGGGAGGGTGTTTGGTGATTCTGATGCAGCTATGCCTTTGATTAAACAGCTTGTTTATGAGCAGTGTACGAAAGAGTGTAGGGCTGCCATTACACCTTATAAGAGCATTGACTAATGCTGGCCTAGCAGCAGCTGTAGTTCAGCTGACTCAAAATAAAAGAGGAAGTTCAGGTGCCTGCTTTAAGTGTGGCAAGATGGGGCACTTAAAGCAATAGTGCCATGAAAGAGGAAGTGCAGCTGAAGCAGGAGGGGGACAACGCCCTAAGCAGCCTAGACTGTGTCCTAAGTGTAAAAAGGGAAAACACTGGGCGAATGAGTGCCACTCTGTGAAAACCGTTAATGGGCAACCTTTAACTCGAGGCTATGGTGGTACTTATCCAAAAACGGCCAGCGGGGCCCCTGCCCTCAGGGCCTGCAAATATATGGGGCAGTAGAGAATCAGGACAAAAAGTGGAGCCAGGAGATGTGGCCAACCCTTCATCATCCCAAGGACCACAGAGAGCCACTTTAGGTTCAGCAGGATTGGACCTCTGCTCCACCTCCCAACTCATATTAACTCCCCGGATGGGGGTCCACTAGATAGAATCAGATTATACTGGAGTGGTGAAGATCATGGTCGAATCCCCAAAAGGGATTTCAGCCATTTCCCCTGGCTATAGGATAGCTCAACTGTTATTCTTACCCAGCTAACATGAACGCTTTGCTGCACAGTCCAAAGAAAGAGGAAAAGAAGGTTTTGCATCCACAGGGACAGACTTAACCCTTCTGTCCTTAGACATGGATCAAAGACCAGTCTTGGAGCTTTGTTGTAGATGGTAAGAAGATTCTAGGTTTGTTGGACACAGGTGCAGATAGAAGCATTATTGCCAAGAAAGACTGGCCTACAAGCTGGCCAATACAAGTCTCCTCTCAAACTTTGCAAGGTCTGGGTTATGCCAAGGCACCAGATGTGAGTGCAAGACAATTACAATGGAAAGATGGGGAAGGGCATTCTGGAGTCATGCAACCCTATGTATTAGAAATTCCAATCTCTCTATGGGGAAAAGATCTTTTGAAAGACATGGGCTTTAAGCTGAGCAAAGAATATTTCCTTGCTTCTCAGAAGATGATGAAAGACATGGGTTATCATCCAGGTTATGGAATAGGGAAGTTCTTACAAGGAAGAAAAGATCCCATTAGCACTCAAAAAAGAAATCCTAGGCAGGGCTTGGGTTTTTCCTAGGGGCCACTGAGGGAGGCCTTCCCATTACCTGGAAAACAGAGGAGCCAGTGTGGGTTCCTCAGTGGCCACTTTCCTCTGAGAAATTGAATGCTGCAAAAGAACTCATGGCTGAACAACTGTCCTTGGGACATATTAAACCCTCAGTTTCTCCATGGAATACTCCCATTTTTGTGATTAAAAAGAAATCTGGAAAATGGCGTCTGTTACATGATTTAAGAGCAATTAACAATCAGATGCAAATTATGGGCCAAGTTCAACAGGGCTTGCCACTGCTATCATCGTTGCCAGCCTCCTGGCATATAATTGTTATTGATATAAAAGATTGCTTTTTCTCCATTCCCCTGTGTAGCAAGGATAGTGAGAGATTTTCCTTTACTCTTCCATCTTGTAATCATGAGGAACCAGATCAAAGATTTGAGTGGGTAGTTCTGCCACAAGGCATGACCAACAGCCCTACTATGTGCCAACTTTATGTTGGAGAAGCCATTGGCCCATTAAGAAAAGAATTTCCTACTTTAAGATGTATTCATTATATGGATGATATACTATTGACTGCAAAGGAGCGGGCTTATATAGATTTAGTTAAATTGCTTGAAAAGAATGGGTTGTTTATAGCCCCTGAAAAGGTTCAGAAAGAAAGTTGTAGATTATTTAGGAGCTAAGATTAGTGAGAAACAAATTATTCCACAAAAGGTAGAATTAAGAAGAGATCATTTGAAAACCCTAAATGATTTTCAAAAATTGTTTGGAGATATAAATTGGATTAGATGTTATTTGAAATTAACAAATTATGAATTAAAACCTTTGTATGTTTTGATTGCAGATTCTGCCCTAAATTCTCCTAGACAATTAACTGTAGAGGCAAGAAAGGCTTTACAGATGGTAGAAGAAAGATTACAGTGTGCCTTTTTACAGAGGTTTACAGAAGGTCAAGACGTTGTTATGTGCATTCTTCCTACATATTATCAACCCACAGGCTTGTTATGGCAAGAGGGAACACTACTTTGGATTTATCATAAAATATCTCCTGCTAAATCTATTGAACATTACCCTACTGTGGTGGCTAAATTAGCCTTGAATGGAATCCAACAATGTTTGCAATGTTTTGGAGTCACTCCAAATATAGTTATAGTGCCCTATTCCAGCCATCAAGTTAAAATCTTTGTGCCACAGTAGATGATTGGGCCATTTTGCAGTGTGGATTTGATGGCAATATAGATAATCATTACCCTAAGCATCCATTATTGGAATTTTTTTAAGGAACATCCTGTAGTATTTCCCAAGATAACATCATCTGAGCCTATTTTAATGGCTCCAAATGTATTTACAGATGGTTCTAAGACAGGCTGTGGAGCCTACATGATAGAAAGACAGGAGCCTGTGTTGCATCAGTTCCAGCCTGGCTCCCCTCAGTTTGTAGAATTAAAGATAATAATGGAAGTCTTTAAGGCCTGTCCTTTTGCTTTTAATTTGATATCTGATTCAGCTTATGTTGTCAATGCCATTAAAGTTTAAAAGTGGCTGGACCATAAAGAGTGCCAGTCCGGTTGCCTTTTATTTCAGCAATTACAAAATTTAATTTGGCAAGGGAAAACTTGTTTTTTGTTCAGCATGTTAGAGCTCATACAGGGCTGCCAGGGCCTTTAAGTGGAGGTAATGATAAAGTTGATCAGTGGACTAGGATGGAATGCATATTTTTGAGTTCTACCTTAGAAAAGGCAAGGAATTTTCATAAGACTTTTCATGTAAAGGCTAGAGCATTACAACATGAATTTCATCTTTCTTGAGCAGATGCTCGACAAGTGATTCTGGATTGTCTTCAATGTGTGATTCATCAACATCCACCCAGTATGGGAGTAAATCCAAGGTGTTTGCTCCCTCTAAAAGTTTGGCAAATGGATGTAACACACATATCTGATTTTGGAAACTTAAAGTATGTACATGTGTCTGTGGATACCTGTTCAGGCATCATATATGCCACACCTTTAATTGGAGAAAAGGTGTGCAATGTCATAACTCATTGCCTAGAAGCTTGGGCTGCCTGGGGTAAGCCTCAGCAGCTAAAAACTGACAATGGGCCAGCTTATACAGGTCAAGCCTTTGCCTCCTTTTGTCAACAAATGGAGGTGCAGCTCCTTCATGGATTGCCATATAATCCTCAAGGACTAGGTATTGTGGAGCATGCTATGGCACATTGAAAGAAGATTATACAAGTTTCCTGAATAAACTGCTTAAAGAAGAGTCCAAATGTTGCGTTTTCTTTGCTGGTCAAAGTAGACACAATATATATATATATTCATATATATATATATATATGAATATATATGAGTTTATATTAAGATGTAGAAATTTGTTTCTGGAACTGGTATGTTCATATAATTAATTCAAGTGGCAACTCTGGCCACATGAACTACTTTTAAACATATCTGTGTATTTATTGGGGTACTCTAAGATCTATGATCTACTCTTACAATAAAAGTAAAATATAAGTTCAATAACATTTGGTTTGAAATAAAATTTAATGTATTTCTTTTGGATTTTCATACATACTTTAAAATTCATATGAAAATTTAAATCTCAAATCTATAAAATACATCATTTTAGTGGTTATTCATAAGACTGCAATGACTTAACATTAATCCTAAATGTGATATATCAAGGTAATCCAAAGCATTCATGATCTCTCTATAGTATGCATTACATGCTAATATCTAAGCCTATCAAGTACAGAAGTTGTCAATGATAATATTAGAATAAAATTTTTGTATATATAATTGCTAATTACATAAGGAACAACTGATATTTGACAGTACCTCTATAATACTATGGAGCAATGTATATAGAAGTTTACATATACAAATTTCTACTATACATAAATTATATACTAAATCTAATGGAAAAATTGAAACCTGATTTTACAAATGTTTGAAGAACATCATGCTATATTTTTTGAGACTCAACAGTACTATGATCTTATGACATATATTAACTGATATTTATGACATTTTTCACAATATTTCTTGTATTTTATTGGTAGTACAAAAATAATTTTATATTTTATAATTATATACTTATAAGTAGTACTATATTTTATAAATGCTATGTAAAATAAAAATAGATGTACCAAATTAGAGCTAAACTAACAGAATGACATAGTTTTACAAAATGTACAAATATTTTTGGTTTTAATTAAGTTTAACCTTAAGGTATTAAGTTTGAAGATAATGGAATCAATTTATAATTGGTGTTATGCCACTGGTCTTCACTACAAAATCTTTAAGAAATTAATGCTTCGTCCAGCACAATGGGTTAATTTCTTACTCTATTATAGTATAACAGGTGGTGGAAGTATTTTCTAATAATCTGCACCAGTGGACAATAAGTAGGTAAGTTACAAAGTGAATTGGTAACTCATGGAACACCAAAATTCTCCTGAGTTTGCAAATAATCTGAATGGTACACAAAAACGAGTAACAGGCTTGGACAGTGGTGCAGGTGAATGGAAAGCAGTGGCTTATCTCTGGTATGTTGTTATGAAAAGAATGTAAAGGAGACAGTCTAAAACACAATGATATATGTGCATAAAATTTTACTTACTTCCTTCTTAAAAGGATTCCTACAAAAATTAAGTAACAGCAGAAATTTAGAATTGTGCTACAACAATTTAATCACAAATATTTAATTAATTCAGAACATTTACATTATTACTATTTTGACTTAATCTGACATGTACTAGTTACAAAATTCATAATTAATTTTAAAATGTCAAGTAATTACCAAAATATCCTGAAACATAGGAAAACTATGTGGAGTACACTTGGTTTTTGAAGGAAATACATGAGAATGTACTCACAGGCTTAAAAAAAGACAAATAAACCAATATATCTGTTAATTATGTTTATTCATGGACAAACAAGACTGTCTATAATAAGTAGAACCAAGCAACAGCATTATCATAATGTCAACAATTTAATATCTACTTTTTAATAATGTATTATATATTTTAAAATATAGCACTATGAAAAATATAATTAACATAAAAGACGTTTTATCATGTCTCTGAAATATTGTGAAAATAATTTAATTCCAAATGACTTATGTAGGTATTGATAAACCTAAGAACAAAAGTACAAGTTATATTCGGCTGTAAATGCTAGTAGTACTTCTACATATGTGGATTGTTTTCTTTAGTTAAAAGTGTGAAGTATTTAATCTTGGTACTTTTTCTTTTTTTATAACCAATGTACGTATTTTAGGGAAGTACTCTACTACAAGTAAAACTGACCACTTCTTCCTATTTCAATGTGTGATGCTGTAATCTAAGTTCAGTATAGTCTAATCTTGTTTAAGTTATTCATTATTTTATTTGTTTTGTTTTGTCCCTGGATATGGAACTCAGACCCTCTCACATTCTGAGGAAGCAAGGCACTATATCATTGAGCTATATTCTCAACCCAGAAGTCTAATTCTTCCATTTATAATAATTGGTGAGAAATAAAGTAATATTGTAACATTCTTACCAATAGAGCCTGTGTCTGCATAAAGAAGACATGGAATTACAGAATAATTAAGGTCTCTTAGAATTCTATGCTTTTTCTCTCCTGAGTAATATATGCTTACCTGGAGTACTCTTAGGTGGTGGTGCCTGTGGAAGTCCAATGATAGGGTACATCCAGTGTATTGCTTGAATTTCCCCATGGTCTACTCCCATAAATCTGTTAAAATATGGAGAGTTAACACAAAACAGAAATATAGTCAATATAGACTTAGGAAGTAATAATTATATATACATACATTTACATTTTGTATTATTATTGAAGTAAGCTTTACTTACATATAATTACTGCATACATATACATATTTATGTAATAGCAATTAATGAAAAAAGATAAAAAATATGAAAGAGTACAAGGTGGGATACATAGGAAGGTTTAGAATGAGAAAAGAAAAAAATGATGAAAATATATATATATATATATATTATAATCTCAAAAACTATGTAATAGAAAAGGCTGTATTATTTATTCATCTGAAATAATTTGAGTAAGCCTTTTGAAAGTATATTTAGACAGACACATTTAAAGAATAGAAAATATTTTTTTAAGCTGTTGATGTTATAAACGTGCAAGGAAGTCTTAGAAAATTATTCCACAATACAAGAGTTTTGTTATTTATCTTTCAAAAATACATTTGTATTTATCAATGTAACTGAATGTTGACTGAGGAGTAAAAGAGTTCATATTGGTGCTATCCTAAATTATGCAGTAAAAAAAAATCCTATAAATTCTGGGATTTCAGAAAGGGATGAAAGCTTTTATTTTAAGCTGCCAGTTAAAAAGAGAGCATATATTTCATCTACTATTGGGGAAAATTAACAAAAGTTGCCTTATTATTTCTGAAGATGGAATTTTCTTGCAAAATAAAATATTTAAACACTGAATAGAAGATCAGTTGTGAACGTGACTTCTAGGACACCACATTCAAAAGGGCTCTGTGCTTTTAATCACAATATTAAAGAACTTTTTTAAAAAGATGCTTTTATCTGTACTTTTTCACTGGGAGACTATATATGTGTGTATTAATAATAACTGCGACTCTAGGGATGGTGAAATGCCTGACAGAATGGATAAGTGAGCCATAGTAAAAACACGTGGAGAAGAAATATGTGAATATATGATGAACTAAGATTTTTATTTTACTTAGGGTTTCTATACTAATTATAAGAACAGAGGAAACATTTAAATTTTGAACTATTAAATTAAAGCTAAGCAAACTATCTAAGTTACTCTTATTCAGGCAATGATATAGAAACAATACACCCTGGTTACAAGTACTTAGACAAACTTCTGATGCATTTGCAGTGGGATATTCAATTTGTCTGCTTCTGTGGCACTCACTACGCCTATTGGGGGTGGAGCCAGCCCCGGAAGTTACTGATGGAACTAGGTCTAAGGAGGAGGCAGGAATGTTCTCTTGCTGGCATGACATGGAGAGGAGAGCATCTGGTGGAACTTGTGTTCATCTGTCTAATTTGTAAGTTATTTCAACCTGAACAAACATCTATTCGGCCTATTAGTTTATCTTGATCTTTATTAAACCACAATATGCATTCCTCAAAATATTATTCCTTGTTTCAGCAACCAGTAACTATTTTCCCTTTGCACACCTTTTGTTCACTACTGTCAACTTCAAAAACCGTATTTTATTTTTCTGGACATAAGAGTTGCAGTAGCTCAAATCACATAAAATAATGAGCATTATGTTGAATATGTAGCACACATTAAGGAAACCTATCATATCAAGTTCAGTCAAAATACAAACTAGTTGCTTTCTATATTATAATTGTTACCTCTTAGTTTCTGCACTTAGTTCATCAAAATTGTCAACAAGCCAATTTTCTTTGTTTGCTCTCTTCACCTTAACTATCACCATTGTTTTGTATAGTGTCATAGTAGTAGGTATAAATAACACTGGGATATCTACATTTCCTTTAGGAGGCACCACAATTCCTGTAAAACACACAAAAAAAAAAAAAAACAAAAAAAAAACAACAAAAACTTCAAAATGTTATAACATGCTTCCTAAGCTCTGTTCAACTGATAAATAGATAATAGAAATATACATATCCATGATGGAATTCTACTTACGTAAAAAAAAATGAATGAAATCATGAAATTTGCAGTTAAATTGATGGAACTGGAAAATATTATACTAAATGAGGTAATCCAGGACTGGAAAGAAAATACCACACGTTCTTTCTTATTTTACATCATAATTTGAATAGCAGAAAGTAATACCCTAATGGTTTTACTGGCCATTAGTATTTCAAAATTCCTTCCAAATAAAAACCTCATTCTGTTTGTTTACAAATGCTTCACTATCATTCTAAAGTTCATGAACCTTATTCAAAGACATTTTATCCTAGTAAGAAGTTTCTCTTCAAGAAGCTATGAACTTAGAATTGTTAAAATTGATGGCTAAGGTTATCTAGAGTGAAAAAAGAACCAAGAAACTCATGAATTTTGCTAAATCGTACCATCTTTTATGGACTTGGAAGTGTGACAGTTTATACTAGAAAGGGTACAGCACTATTTGCTGTGTATTTCAAACCAAAATATATCCAGATCTTTGCTTGGTGCCTTTATGTTGCCAGCAGTAAAATCTTTTCATGCACAAAGAAATGCAAACATTATTTAATAAAAATACCAAGTTATGAGAGTCAGAAGCCAGATAAACTTCTCAAATATTTTTCAAATTAATTTGAAAACTTTGAGTTTTACTAAGGACCACCAAAAATCATGCTATACAAGGAGCTTGTTGAACCCCAACTCAAGGGTAATGGCCTCTTCAAGTAGAACTTACAGCAAAAGAAACACAGTATTATAATACAAAGCTTTAAAAAAAGTAATTCTACCTGTTGAACAAAATGAAGACAGTCTGGTGGATGGTAACACAGGCTTCAGACTATTTTTTAACAATGAAGGTGCTTTTTCTTTCTTTTCTTTTTTTTTTTTTTTTACATCTATGGCCTTATTTACTGCACACTAAAATTTTCCTTGGACACTGCTCTTGTCTAGACTGTTAGACTTTATGAAACTGTATAAACTAGTCATGCAGAACCCATAGGAAAAGTGACTACTGAAACAAGATGGACATTGGTACAGGGTTCCTGTTTCATAGAAGAGTCTGCCAGATATTCTACAGAACACAGAGAAAAGGGACTGACAAACTGCCAATACAGGTGGACAGTTTAAATTTTCCTACTTTGCTGAGGAGTCGGCAGACACACTATGGCCGATAGGCTGAACACGGAACTTTACAGAAAAACTTTGGTGAATGACCAGGCAGTTAGATGTCTCTGTCATTTCTAGAGTGCATATATTATCCTTCTGTGGTCTTTGATGGAGTTGAAGACAGATTGTTATGGTTATAGTTTTCTTTAGATAGGATTAAAGATAAGTTACATATAGGACATCAGACTCACAAAGATAGGATAGATGATAAAAATATTTTCTTTATCCACATCCTCTCCAACATAAGTCATCACTGGTGTTTCTAATTTTAGCCATTCTGGCAGGGGTAAGATGGTATCTCAAAGTTGTTTTGATTTGCATTTACCTGATAGCTAAGTATGTGGAGCATTTTCTTAAGTGTCTTTCAGCCTTTTTTGATTTCCTCCATTGAGAATTCTTTCTTCAGTTCTGTACCCCATTTTTAAATAGGGTTATTTGGTGGTTTGTTGACTAGTTTCTTGAGTTCTTTGTGTATTTTGGAGATCAGCCCTTTGTCGGATATAGGATTGGTGAAAATATTTTCCCAGTCTGTGGGCTGCCGTTTGGTCTTGTCGACTGTGTCCTTTGCCTTACAGAAGCTTCTAAGTTTGAAGAGGTCCCATTTATTAATTGTTTCTTTCAGGGTCTGTGCCCCTGGAGTTATGTTCAAGAAGCAGTCTCCTATACCAATTTGTTCAAGGGTACCTCCTACTTTCTCTTCTAAGAGGTTCAATGTGGCTGGATTGATGTTGAGGTCTTTGATCCATTTTGACTTGAGTTTTGTGCATGGCGACAGACATGGGTCTATTTGCATTCTTCCACACACCCTCATCCAATTATGCCAGCACCATTTGTTGAAGATGCTGTCCTCGCCCCATTGTATACTTTTAGCTGTTTTGTCGAAAATCAGGTGTTCATAGGTGTGTGGATTAATTTCAGGATATTCAATTCGATTGCATTGGTATCCCTGTCTATTTTTATGCCAATACCAGGCTGTTTTCAGAACTATAGCTCTGTAGTAGAGCTTAAAGTCAGGAATGGTGATGCCTCCTGAAGTTCTTTTATTGTATAGGGTTGTTTTGGCTATCCTGGGTCTTTTGTTATTCCATATAAAGTTGATTATTACCCTTTCAATGTCGGTGAAGAATTGTGGTGGGATTTTAATGGGGATTGAATTGAATCTGTAGATTGCTTTGGGTAAGATTTCCATTTTTACTATGTTAATCCTACCTAACCAAGAGCATGGGAGATCTTTCCATTTTCTGGTATCTTCTTTAATTTCTTTCTTTAGAGCTGGTGGGAGTGCAAACTCATACAGCCATTTTTGAGATCAGTATGGCGGTTCCTCAGGAAAATGGGAATTAGTTTACCACAGGACCCGGCAATCCCCCTCTTAGTCATATACCCAAAGGGTTCACATCCATGCAACAAAGACATCTGTTCAACTATGTTCATAGCAGCACTATTTGTAATAGCAAGAAACTGGAAGCAACCTAGATGCCCCGCAATTGAAGAATGGTTAATGAAGATGTGGCACATCTACACAATGGAATACTACTCTGCAGAAAAAAAATAATGGTATCTTGAAATTCGCATGCAAGTGGATGGCACTTGAAGAAACCATCCTGAATGAGGTAACCCAGTCAGAAAAAGAGGAACACAGTATGTACTCACTCATATATGGATTTTAGACCTAGATCAGATGATCATAACCCTATAATTCACATCACCAGATGAACTAGAATACAAGGTGTATTCTAAGAGATTCATATAAAGTCCCTCACAGAACTGGGAAGGGACAAGTCCCCCAGAACTCAGGTGAAGTGGGGGAGGACAGCAAATGGAGAGAGAAGGAGGAGAAAATGAGGGGGAGGAAAGGAAAACATGTGCGACCAGGAAGATTGAGCCTGGTTAGGAATAGAAGATAGTAAAAGAGAGAGAGAGAGAGACAGAGACAGAGACAGAGAGAACATAAAAGAGGGAGCCAATATTGGTTTGAAGATAAAATTGAACACAAAGAAAGGTCCAGAGAACTACAAGACTGCTTCCAACAAACAATCTCAGCTTCCGTGGAAAGGCTATCATAAATGCCCTTTCTGGAGAGTGAGTTCAACAACTAACTTCTCCATGGAGCCCTCAACTAATGCCTGTTGAAAATAGGAGCAAACACCCATACATAAACACTGAGTCGAACTAGAACACAGAAGCAGATGGAGAGGACAAGACCATGCAGCAGAAGCACATAGAGACAGCTTACCTGAACAAGGAGGAGCTAAGGGCCACTAGACTGATAGCTGGGAAGCCCACATGGGACTGACTCAGGCCCCCCTGAATATGGGTCTCAGCCAGAAGGACTGAACAGTCTAAGAGACCTCAGACAATGAAGCCAGGATGTATCCCTGGTGCACAAAAGGACTTTGCGAACATATCCCCCATGGAGGGATAACTGCCTTAATCTAGAGACAGGAGAGAAGCCCTAGTCCCTACTTCACAGGACCTGTCAGATCTACATGACCCCAACTGGATGGCATTCCCCTACATATGGAATTGTGGTGGGGGGATGGGAGGGGAGGGTGTTTAGAGTGCATGTGAGAGGGCAGAGAGGGTAAAAGAGAGGGAAGGTGGGAGGGAGGGAGGGAGGGAGGAAGAGGGAACTGGGATCAACATGTAAAATAATAAATCAAATTAAAAAAAATGCTTTGACTCCAAAATTTAAGTTCAAGGACAAGTTACTGGGGAAAAGGATTTCTATTTTTGTTTCCACAGAAAATGAAAAGATGTGGATTCCTTCCAGACTAATGTGGTTTGATCAAGCCAGACCGCCTGACACAAGAGTACAAGCTGACCCTACATTCAAAACAGCTGGACAAAACAGCCCTACAGACTACAGCCAGGATATCTGAATCTTCTTCGAATCTCCCAAGACAGCGCCCCTTACCAGCAGGAAGTAGTTTGGAAAGAGCGACGCCCAAATTCCCAAATATTGTGTATAAATGTTTGTTTTCATTTAATTGGACTTTGTTATATAAAATTAAATAAAATTAAAAAATAAAAAAATATTTTCTTTAAATCTTACTAAATGTTTATGGACAGATAACTGTTATATATTTTACTATGTTAAAGTAAAACTCTTTATTTTAGACAGAAAAGAAGATATGATGGGATATGCCATTCTGTAAATATGTTTCCTTATTGGTTAATGAATAAAGCACTGTTGGCCAACAGAAAAGCAAGATAGGTGGGATTAGGAGACTAGGAGGAGAGAGGAAGAAGTAGGGAGGAGTTTTCAATATGTAGGACCAACAGGTTAGAACTCTGTGCCTTCTCTCCGGTAAGATAAGAACATGTGGAATTAATTAGATTAATAGAAATGGGTTACTATTTAAGAGAGCGTTAGCCAATAAGAATTGTTAGTAGCAGGCTAACAGCTTTATATCTAAACAACAACAACAACAACAACAAAAGCGAGTTGGAATCAGACAAAAACACTGAGCCGAACCCCTGGAGCCGAACCCAGAGAGGAAGGAGGGAAGGAGTGATAAGAAAAGGGGTCAAGACCAGGCTACAGAAACGCACAGAAAGCTGACCTAAACAAGGGGGAGCTCACGGATCTCTAGAATGAAAGTTTGGAAACCAGCATTGGACTGACTCAGACCCTCTGAACATGGGTCTCAGTTAGAAGGCCTGGGCAGTCTAAGGACCCTCTGACAGTGTAACCAGGATGTATCCCTGATGCACAGAAGGACTTTAGGAACACATTCCCCATGGAGCGATACTCTCTTAACCTAGAGGCAGGAGGGAGGGCCTAGTTCCTACTCTAAATGACTTGACAGGTTTTGATGATCCCCCTTGGAAGACATCACCCTTTTTGTGGAGTTAGGGCAGGGTGAGATGGGAGGGGTTCAGGGAACATGGGAGGAAAGGAGGGAGAGGGAACTGGGATCAATATGTAAAATAAGAAAAAATAAAAATAAAAAAAATCAAAACAAATTTCCTTAGTATAAAACTGATAATGAAAGCTCTTTTGATCCAGATAAGTATACTAAAACTGTTAAAAAACCATTAAGAACAAAAGAGAAAATTATTCCACTTAAAATAGACCAACTAAAATTTCGTAAAATCATTTTAATTATTAGTCCCATCAATAAAAGAAATAAGGCCAAATACTATGATTAGTAGTTAAAATTTATTATTACTTCTGTCCATTATCTGAGATAAGTATTAATTACACAATCTCAGATAAGTATTTATTGCACATTCTCTTATTTACTTGTAAGAAATCATCAGAAATTAAAAACTATTACTGATCATATTAGAAATGTGATAACTGAGACAATTTGGTTCAAAGTTTTATTCAAAAATTCCTTTGAGAAATTGTATAGTTTACTAAGGGGTATATTATGAACTTTTTTTCTATATGAGGTCTCTATTTGTAATAGACTATTACTATATTGAACATATTTACTTATAGTGAATATGTTCTTCAAAACTATCAAATTTGTACAATATGAATATCCTTAAATTTTGTATACTGAGTTTTTATTGAGAACATGTAAGGTGTTTGATCACTGTATTATTATTTTCTTTTATTGATATTTTATTTGTGCACTCAAACTTGCTTAGCACATTAAGAACTTTTAAAATTATCATTTTATGTCTAGAAAGCCCTTTCTAATGTAACAAAGGAGTAATCTAAATGAGTGTATACACAGGTTGTAAGTGCAAATTCCATGAAGTTTGCACACTTGTATAGAAATATTTTATTTTTTCTTTATAGTTGAAAATTTTTGTCTATTTATAATTTATTTTAATATAAGCAATGAAGAACATATGTAATGATACTGATATTTATATAGAGATAGTTAAATATACACTACACATTTCAAAGATGATTCTGTGGGTAAAGGGATTTTCCTGTTAAGACTGAATACTCTTCTCCTGTGATAACACTTTAAAACCTTTTAACACTATGAAGATTTGCCAGTAGTAATGAAGCTTCCAGGTTGATACCAGCTGATTTCTCCATGTCTGTCCTATGACTTAAGTATATGATAGCTTTAGAAATAGGGTTTAACAATCACGTTCTGAAGAGTAACAAGGATCAATGGAAATACAGTTTTTAGGGTGTTCTATGGGACTCTACTGGCTAACAACTCAAAAAGATGGATTTATTACTAGCATTGAGTTTTTTGTTTAATAGCCTCTATTGTTTTGGATGAGGATTGTACCCTGTTCTCCAGTAGCAGTAATTTTTATTTAAATTTTGTGTGTATGTGTTTGTGTATGTGTGTTTGTGTAAATATTTTAGGAGGCTTTTAAGGTATAGGGTTTCCATATAGTAGTTTAAAGTACTTCCTTCTCTATATCGTCTTCATATCACCCACCCCATTTAACTCTTCTGTTCCATTATCCCTGTTTCCTCCTTCTCATCACCTAATTTCTATACACATTCCCTTGAAATCTATTCCTTATACCCTGATCCTTTCTAGTTTCCAAGTTCCTATGAATACTCTGACTTAAACACAGAAATCTAAAGTTTCAAATCTACTATACACATATAAGAAAAAACATGCAGTAAGCTGTCTTTCCTTGTCCTATCTAGCTACAAACCCTGTGAATGGCTGTGCCTGGATAAAGAATGGACATTATAGGAAATAGGCTTTTGTGAAATATATTTATCATTTTCCTTCTGAGAGATACCATAAAAGCCCCAAACAGAAATATAGCCCTTTTGTAACATTGCATTTTGTTTATTCACATAACTGATAGGACTTCCTTTTTGTCCTTATTTCCTTAGAGTGCTCGGACACAATAACTGTCCAGTGTCCTTATTTCCTAAATATTCACAGAGACATGAAATCTTATATCCATTTGATCTTACTTTTAGATATAAAAATACATAGGCAGTCAGCAAAAAAATCAAAATAATTCATTTCATATGTAGTTGAAATTATGACATACCAGATAGAACTAAAATTACATCTGACAGATTAATGTTAAATTTTGTTTTAAACTCTGCTTATACACAGTATTCTTTATCTCCTATAATTTTTACTTTATATTTTTCAAGTGACAGAATATTTTAATTCACTTCTCAGACTGAATATAATTTCTTTCATGCATCAGAACCTTTTTTTTTCAATCAAAAGCAAGCATTGTAAGAAACCTAATATTTATATAGTATAACACAGGAATTTTTATGTCAAGAAGGAACCAGACAGATTATAACACATAACTTTGAAAAGTATTTCTCAAGCTGTGGTTGTGATTCCTTTGGGGGTCACATGCCAGATATACTAAATATCAGACATTTACTTATGATTCATAATAATAGAAAAATTAAAGTTATGAAGTAACAAGGGAAATAATTTTATGGCTGTGGTGTCACCACTGCATGAAAAACTGTATTAATGGGTCACAGCATTAGGAAGTTTGAGAACCACTGGATTAGAACTTATTTTAACTTAAAAAATAAATTGAAAATTATGCTAAAAAATTACATTATAATTCCCCTCAAATTATTCAACTGCCACTGTTACTACCTCCCTAAGTGTCCTTTATTGAATTTATCTCATGAAAACCTCACCCAGATACCAATTCCATAAATGCCAGATATTGCAGTATTATACTGATCTTCAGTATTTTTGTTCTGATTTCTTTCAGATCATATTATTGGAGGTAAATGATCTATTTTAAGCATTTCAAAATTTAATGAGTACATGTATGTATATATGTTTTATATGAATGTATCTGTGTATATACACATTGTAGAGTGGAGGATGAAATGTAGGACATGCTAAGCAAGTATTTTAACAAGGAACTGTACCTGCATGTTTTTGAATTTTTGCTTTTTCTACATTTCAATGTTGCTAAGCAGAGTCCAGAAGGGCCAAATGACATATTGTAAAAACTGGAAAAATTAAAAGGTCTAGAATGTAAATCACTTTCCTGCAGTTACATTAATTGATGATACAACTAAACACTGAGCCAAACTGCTGGAATGCAGTCCTAGAGAGGAAGGAATGATGAGCAAATGGGTCAAGACTATGCTGGGGAAACCCACAGAAACAGCTGACCTGTGCAAATAAGAGCTCATGAACTCCAGACTGACAGTTGGGGCACCTGCATGAGACTGAACTAGGTCCCCTGAACGTGGGTGTCAGTTCAGGGACTTGGGCAGTCTATGGGGCCTTTGTAAGTGGAACCAGTATTTATCCCTAGTGCATGAAATGGATTTTTAGAGCCCATATTGTATGGATGGTTACCTTGCTCAGCCTAGATACAGAGGGGAGGGCCTTGATCCTGCTCCAAGTGCTGCGACAGACTTTGATGATCCCCATGGAATGGACAGGGAGAAGGTTGGGGGGGAATTGGAGGGAGAGGGAACTTGGATATTTAAGTAAAATAAGGCTGATTTTAATTGTAAAACTTAAATAATAAAAAGGAATTTTACAATGTTGCTGATGCAGATGGATGATTAAAATAAATACAAGGAAACAATTAATACATTGTAGGGAGATGTTAATAGTTACTGACTTCAACTAATCAAATTCTGATAAGATAATATTTATCATATTACCATAAACTTGATTACTATAATTTGAAAACTTTATTATTTTAGGCAAATTCATAATTCTTGAGATATATATGTTTTCACTTGTTTATTGAACAGGAGATTGAACCTCAGACCTCATATAGGATAGGCATGTACATATTACTGAGCCCAAAATTTAGATTCTTTAGATTTATTACTTTTAAATTATTTTTTTAATTTTCTTCATATTGGTTAGTATACTGGTGGGATTAATATACTGAAAAAAACTATCTTTACCATGAAATAAGTTTTCAGGCAAACATTAGGAAATTTGTAATCATTTTTTAAGTATGAGTACTTACAAATTTTGTATTCTTCTAAAAATTTCATTACCAATACACCCCTATTTTAATTGGTATGAGATCAGAACATTGAAACTTTCAAAAACAAGAGACATCCATATAAAGAATATCTTTCAATTGCAGCAGTGCACAGAATGACAGAATGTAAGAAAGAAATCCTGTACCATGTGTACGCCTCAGAGAGCTGAACCGGAATGCAGAATTCTCATGGAGGAAACTATCCCAGCAATGGTCAATTACAAGATTCTTGGGTTCTTCTTTATCTAATTGAGAAACAAAGAGATATTATATTTCAGTGTCACATACAAGACAGTCTATCTAAATGGCAATTAAATTAAGTCTTCTTCAAACTTACATAAGTATGTTTTGACATGAAATTTAACTGACATATTTGAAGAACATATTCAATATTAGAATTGGTTTTCTATATTCCACTAAAATATTTAATAATCCATCCACAACTGGATTCCAGGAATTTGGTTCAGTGTTTAGCTGTGGATTTCTGTTTCTGCTTCCATCAGCTACTGGATGAAGGTTCTAGGATGACATTTAAGGTAGTTCGTAATCTCATGATAGGGGAAGGGCATTTAAGGTAGACTCTCCATTATTGCTTTGTTAGTTGATCTTGTAGATCACTGTACATTTTCTTAGTGCCGTATTTTTCTTTAAACCTATAATGGCTCACTCTATTAATGTATTTCTTTTCTTGTTCTCCTTCCCTACTCTTCCTCCAACTAGATCTTCAAGACCTTGGTGGGGAAACCCAAAGAAACAGCTGATATGAGCAAGTGGGAGTGCATGGACCCATGTTTGACAGCTGGGGAACCAGCATAAGAACAAACCAGGACCCTTGAATGTGGGTGCCAGCTGGGAGGCCAGGGCAGTCTATGGGTTCTCTGGCATTGGAACTAGTATTTATCCCTAGTGCAACAGTGGACTTTGGGAGACCATTCCTCATGTAGGGATACACTTTCAGCCTATATACATGGAAGAGGGACTAGGTCCTGCCACAAATGATGAGACAGACTTTGATGATTCCCCATGGGAGGCCTCATTCTCCTTGGGGAGTGGATAGAGTATGAGATGGACAGGAGGGAGAGGGAAATGAGATGGTATTTAAAAAGGAAAGAAAGAATCTACCCCCAATTATTGGAGATTTAAGTACTCAACAGATATGGCTAATCTATTCATCCACACAAACATATAGAAATTATACAACACTAATTATAAGATTAAGCCCAGGACAAACTGTAGTAATTGTAAAACCCAGGGAACTAGAAAGAGGCCGTTGTTAGTGGTGTTAGGTATGGAAGAAAAGCCCTTAAGTACTGTGGTATAATAGAAAATAGGTATTATGAAAATGGAAAGAGTGAATAATTGGTGTGGAAAAATGTAAGCAGGGAAATGGGTGGAGGGTGGATGGGAGAGAAGAGAATTTAGAAGAATACCTACTACCTTATAATGTCTGCCCCTACATGTAGTGGGTTATTAAACTATGAGTGCCATGTGTGGTATATTTCTTTTTGAATTATTGGTCTGGAAGAACACAGAAGCCCTAAGCAGGTCATCAGAATTGTTATAAACTTTTGCATAGTAACAACTAAAATGAAAAAGAGGGATATAGCAACTGACACTGAGGAAATCAAGAGAATCATTCGGTCATACTTAAAAAAAATTGTATTCACAAAAATTCGGAAACATAAATGAAATGAACAATTTTCTAAATTGGTATGACTTAACAAAATTAAATCAAAACCAGATAAACATCTTAAATAAACCTTTGACCCCTACCAGAATAGAAGCAGTCATTAAAATTCTGCCAACCAAAAAAATAAAGAATTAAAAAAAATAATTTGTACAAGGCCAGATGTTTTCAGCAGAATTCTACCAGAATTTCAAAGAACTAGTACCAATCTTCAATTGTTCCACACAATAGAAACAGAAGGAATATTGTCAAACTCTTTTTATGAGGCTACAATCACCCCAATACTCAAACCACACAAAGATGCAACTAAGAAATAGAACATCATGAACATTGATGAAAAAATACTCAGTACAATACTGGCAAACCCAATCCAAGAACACATCAAAAACATTACCCACCATGATTAATTACAATACAAACACAACACGATCATGAAATTTGCAGGGAAATGTGTAGAACTAGAAATAAACATTCTAAGTGAGCTAAATATGAATCAGAAAGACAAACATTGAATGTACTCAGTCAAAAGTGGATATTAGACATAAAGAAAAGGACAACCAGGTTACATACAATCTATAACTCCTGAGAAGCTAGGTAAAAAGGAGGAACCTAAGAGAGATATATATGGATGCCCTTGAGAAGGGGAAATAGTTTACGATCTCCAGAGTAAATTGGGAGTGTGGTGGAGATAGGCAGGTGGGGGGGGCGAGTGGGGTGGAGAACATAAGGGTTGAATGGTTGAGTTGGAGATGGAACTCAAAGGGAGACCAAGGAAAGAAAAATCTTGATAGAGGGAGTCTTCATAGGGTTATAAATGGGAGAAATTTGGTGATAGGGTAATTCTCGGAATACACAAGGATGTTCCCATGTTCCCAGCTAAGGGATACCTTGCTCAACCTTGACAGAAGGGGTAGTGGCTTGCTTAGTCCTGCCTCAACTTGGTATGTAGGACTTTGTTGACTACCCAAGGAAAGCTTTATTCCCTCTGAGGAGTGGATGGAGGGGTGGGAATGGTGAGGTGGGGGGCAGACAAATTAAGGGGAGGAAGCAGGAACTGTAGTTGGTATGTAAAGTGAAAAAAATCTTTTAAATAATAAAAAATTAAAAATAAAATAGCAGTTCAAAAAAAGAATATTACAAGAATCTTACAAATCAACTAACTCATGTAGATTTAAAAAATAAGATCAGAAGACTATTTGACATATAGGTTCTGCATCGACAATTTAAGAGGTGTTTTTCAGCTATCATATTTTACCACTTTGTTCTTTATGCTTTCTATTTAATAAAGTTTTTATAATGTAGTGAAATAGACAGATATCTATAAAATATAAGAAAAACAACCTACTTGTTAATATGAGATCAATGGAAACATCTTCACTGGTAGGATTTTTGAAATGTATCATGACAGATGCCTGAAGACCAAGGATTGTGGTTATTCTTTGAGCTTCTATAGGCATAGGGAATAGTCCTACTCCAAAAAGGTGGAATTTCCATTCTTTAAACTGTTTTGAAAAAATAAACAATCATAATATAACAACATATATTTGATTTTCAAGATTTAAAATTTTTTCAAAGTTCTTTCTAATGTATTTTATTGTACATGGTACACAGTCACTTGTAAGGACATTGTCTTACAAGTATATAATTTACTTTGAGCATATTCCCCTGCCTACTCAGCTACCACAGCCTTTCGTAGTCCTCTTCCCTATCATTGTCCATCTTAATTTCTCTAGATAGGTTTGATTCTGTTTTGATGTCTTATGTAGATATTTGACTTTCTTTATATAAAATCTAGGAACCACAAATAAGTGCAAACATGCAATATCTCCACTCTGAGATAAACTAAGTTCACTGAATATTGTTTCTAGTTGTGTGCTGAAAATAATGTAACTTCTCTTTTTGTGGCTGAACATGTATCCATTCCTGTGCTGGCTAGTCAATTTGATACAAACTGGACTCTTGGAGAGGAAGGAGCCTCAAGTTGGATAACCCTTTATAAGATAAGGCTGTAGACAAGCAAGTAGGGCACTAATGATTAATGTGGGAGGGCCAGTACATTGTGAGTGGTGTCATTCCTGGGCAGCTGGTGGTTCTGGGTTCTATAACAGGCTGGGCAAACCAGAAAAAGCAAGCCAGTAGTAGCCAGCATTCCTTCCTGGCTTCTGAATCAGCTCCTACCTCCAGGTTCCCACCTGAGTCAAATAAACCCTTTCCTCCCCACAAGTGTTTTGGTCATGATGTTTCTTCATAGTAACAGAAACCCTAACTAAAACAATTCCTGTTGTTGGAAACCTACAATGGTTACATAAACTCGCTATTGTGAATAGTGCAGCAATGAACATCTCTGTGAAGTATTGACTTGGAGTCCTTCAGGTAAACAACCAGGTGTAGTATAATCATTTTTAGTTTTGTTAGGATCCACCATATTGATTTCCATAGTGACTGGACTAGTTTTCAGTTTCACCAGTAGTGTACAAGAGATCCCCTTTTTTGACATCTAGGCCATTATGTGTCATTTCTTTTCTTTAATGGGTGCTCTTTTGACTGAATATATCTATGAAGTTTTAATCTTAAAACAAATACATATACACAGACACAGCATGGAACATTTGGAAGGTAAGGGAAATGATTTTACATTACATGAAAAAGTACTTTAATCACTGTTTTAAATGTGCTGGGGGTTGGTGGCACATACTTTTAACCCCAGCACTTGGGAGGCAGAGGCAGGTGGATTTCTGTGAATGATATATTGGTTGAATAATTAAAGCCTGTCTGAGGTCTGAGAATGGACTATCCCATTGGCTAATGATAGAGGTCTGGAGGTCCATACAGACAGACAGGAAGTAAGACAGCTGGGCTGAAACACGATACAAACAGGCAGACATAGGAACTTGCTCTCTTGTCTGTTGAGATGTTAAGGAGGTAAGGTGTGGCCAAGGCTTGCTCCTTCTCTCTGGTCTTTCAACATTTTCCCCTATATCTGACTCTGAGTTTTAATTACTTAGACCAGTTAAGAAAAAGAAAAAAAATTAAAAGAACACCACCTACAGGGGACTAAACATTTCCTAATGGATCACTGTGCTTACATCCCTCCTATAGATACCCTTTCTCACCCACAAGTCCCTCCCCAAATCTGTCTGTCAGCCATTTCTCTCAGTTCAGGCTACATTTAGGAAATAGTTAAAATGTGTCTGACATGTACTGTTCTTAGCTCATTTAGATTATTTAGCTATTCATTTGCAAATGCCAGTTTAGGTTTGATAAATTTGAAGGGTTATTTCAAATATTTAGGCTTCAAAAATAAATTATTTTTCTATATATTATTTTATTTTTTATTTTTATTTTACATTTCGATCCCAGTTCCTTCTCTCAAAAATAAATTCTAAAGCTTATTTTAAAGTGTGTTCTTTATATTCTTGTACACATATAATATGTACTGTTAATAAAAAGTTCATTCAATTAAAATTTTATGACCTGGTTTTACTTGCAAGTGATTTCAATTTGATGAATTAGAAAGAAAGATGGGAATCATTTGGGAATTAAAAAAAAGAAGAAGACAAAAAGGTTAAACAGAAACATTGGACAGGGTATAAGGTCTGGACTTAGTGGCAGAAGAGATGAATTATTGGTTTAGCTGTAACTATTTAGGAAGGGAGATTTTCAGCAGAAAGAGAATATATACTCAGAGGGATTGAAATAAAGGCCAGTGCTCATCTGATTTAGGAAATGTTTAAGATGAGTATTTTCTTGTTTTACTTTATTTTATACTTGAGAAAGAACTTATTGCTTAATTTCTAGGTTTAAAGACAAATATATCTTATTTAGTTGTTTTCAGATCAGTAGTGCATAGTACTTATATTAAAACATTTAATAATTTGCAATGAAAATGATTTACTTGTAAAAGTTATTAATTCCATGGACTGAAATTATCTATATAAGTTCTACTTCATCTGAGAACATATTGATCATACCTGTGTACAATAGAAGTTAATACAGGTTTCATGACCAGATCTCCCAAGTCCGGATGGATGGAAGTAAACAGATAGCTCTGTGGTAGAGTGAGGTAGGAGGACCAACTGTGAGAATTTAGAAACACAAGAAAAACAAGAATCAATATTTTTGTTGAGGTGAATTTTTTGTAAGCAAGGTCTATGAAAAACTGACATCTGTCTAATAAATGTAATGAGTTGCACATATTATCTGCTTTTGTACACCCACTATACAAATATTGATTATAGGAAATGTGAGGAACACTATTTGGGATGTTAGTTCTCAGGCCATATTCTTTCTTCAGACAATGAATGACCATGCAAGATTACTCACTGTGTATTAATATTTTAGGATTAATCTCAAGAGCTTATTTAAACTTCCAAATTATATAAAAATGAACTTTATTTAGGAATGCAAGCTGTTGAAAATTCTATGGTACAGTCCAGCCAAGTAACTATAGGAACCTAACTTGTAACTGTCAATGTCAAAAGAAATAAATGTCATTTTTTAAAAACATTAGTGTAAGTCAAATTCTTTTCACAATAATTTTTTCAATTCATCTTGTAATATACATATTCATGATAGTAGTTTGTGGTTTGTAGTGTGAGTTTCAGATTTCTCTTTAGAAATAGTAAATAATTACTTGAAAATTTGAGTGTCATATATAATCAAAGTACTATACTGTGGATAATATCATATTTAATACCAATGGAGCCGAATAACAGAATCACAATACCCGGCAACGTTCATTTTACACTAAAGTATTTTTTAAAATTAACTTCAAACACAACAAGCAAAATTACAACCCATCAGCAACAGTCAATTTTTGTAAAATATAGCATTAGGTGTTCAATAACCTCTGATACTAGTCACGAAACACAAAAACAAATTTAATATATATTATTATAAGTAAAAGATGCAAATAACGTGGGAAAAGAGTATCAAAGATTAGAGAGAAACCCAGTTAAGGTTCATTCTTCTAGATGTCTCTAGCTTTTTTCATGGCAAAACAGCAATCAGTACAGTTGAGTAACTTTTAAATTAACATGGATTCAAGATGATGGTGCAAGATTATAGTCTATTAAGATAGAATTTTAATCAAGTACTTAGGTTGGAATGATATTAAGAAATAGGACGGAGAGAAAAGAAAGAGAAGTAGATTATGTGACATATCATTAATAATTTGTGAAGCAAAGGTTAAAGTTAAAGGCATGGGGGTTGTTTATTGTTTCAATTTCTTCTATATCTGAAAAATATAATTAAGAGTTGGAAAAAACAGTTTGCATTATTTATCTTTAAAATAGATTCATGCATATTTATTAAACTATTACTGAATAATAAACCATTTGTAAAGACTTACAGGAATACTATGCAATTAAAACCAAGAATAAAGATGTCAATCATGGTTAAATTTTTTATTATTTTCCATGTGTTATTGGATCAATTTGCTGTCATCTGGGTAACTGTACTCATATATTTTATAACACTATTGCCTCATATATAGCTCTTGGGTTAGCTTTAAGTACATATTTATGCCCAATAACACTTGATAAATTAGTAAAAAAAAAATCTGTGGAGTCTAAAGCTATGGATGAAGGAATAAAATTGTCTGTTTTTAATGACACAAGATGCCATGCAGTATATTGTCTTTGGTTTTCTATAAAAGTGAAGATATATAATATGTGAAAACTCTACATTTAAATTATATGTTGTTAAGTAATATATTCAAGGATATACATTTTAATACATTTTGTAATCTTATAAAACATAAAATTTCAGTAAAGTAAGAAATAACTTTAAATTTATTGATTGTTAAGAACTATACTTATAAGTGAGTATAATTATATCTATATATTCTAACTTCTCATAAAAAGTTTTTAATTCATTCATGATTCCATAATAGATAGCATATACTTTGAATACATTCATCCTTCTTTAGTTTCTGTTAAGAAAATTTTCAGTAATTCATTTACAATTTCATGTAAAGTATTTTGATATATTCAAAAATTCCTTCTCCTGATCCAATAACAGGTTACAATTTATGATCAGGTATAAAAAAAGAATAGAATACCATCTTTTAAAACTTTACAAACTAAAATTATTAATAATTCTAAGGATATTATTGCATTAGAATCCTAATATTAGAATTAGAAAATGCAGTTGTAGCAACCAGTTTCTTGAATTTCTGAATGTACTTACTGGTATTTTTCTATTAATCTCCATGACAAAATTTTCAGGATTACTGTTCCTTATTTTCAATTCTAATGTTTCATGTGTAGGATTATATAAGGGAAGGGTTTGAATGATCTTCCTGGGAGGGAAATCAAAAGCAGTAAATTTACTGGTGTTTATAAATTTATCATTGATAATTTAATAAACATTTTCATTATCAACTAAAATTCCTCCTCCTTAAAAATCTATGCTAATACATAATATTTGCATACATTTATGAGAAATAATGTTTGATTTGATTGTGTAACAAATACCCATCAATCCAAATTAAAAGTAATGCTACTCAATGAAGAAATAAAAAAATGGTACTCATCTGTCATGTTTGGAAATTAATCAAATGATCTTCACAAGGTCATGGAACTCTAAAATGTATGTTTTTACCCATAGTACCACAGAATATGCCATTAAATGCAATTTTGAATATATGTACCTAACTTTGTTAAGCTGAAGTCAGATAGGAAAAAATGGTTTTTTAATCCAACAGGATTTGTGTACTATAATATTTTCTTCAAATATGATCAGCAGAAACATCTTAGGGTGTGACACATTCATTATTTCATATGGTGTGGTAGTGACTCTAGGTGTGAGTCTCAAAAGAAAATTTTCCAGGTGTTTCTGATTTTTCATTTTGGTTTTTAACAGATGCCTGTCTTACCCATAAATTCTATGTTGATTAAGAAACAAAAGACTTTCTATATATATATACATAAAAAGTGGACATATATATGTGTGTATATGCTTAATTTTAAACATAATTTGCAGAGAAAATTACTGTATTTACCAAGTGGATTTATATCAGGTTATAATGAAAGAATCATGACTTTTGGTACTAAAAATAATATATAGAATTGGTCTTAGTTCAAAAGTACACATAATGAATCTGTGAAGGAACCTCTGGTTTCAAATCAGTGTTAACTGAAGCTCATGTAAAAAGTGTATTCCATCAAGGAAAATCATGTATGATATTGTTTAGCAGTGAATACAATGACACTGAACAACAGGTTAAAATACAATAGAAATGGCTTCGCATATGCATTTTCTGTTTTCACTGAATACAAAGCTGTGTACCCCTAAATGTGTACCTTGAACCTGTTGGGAATTAGCAGCCTACTGACCCCTGCCACTAATGATGTGCGGGGTGCTCATGGCCATGTCATCACTATGTCAGGCTTTACCTGGCTGCCAGAGGACTCAATTAGGCATGCATAAGCCCCCCTTTTAAAGCAAGCACACCAAGCATGCCCCTCTCTCTCTCTGGCCTCCCTCTCTTGCCCTCTCTTGCTCTTTCTCTCTTGCCTTTCTCTCTCTCTCCCCTGCTTTCGGTTGGCCATCAGCTACCCACCCCCTCCACTCTCTCAATAAACTCCAAGTGGGCGCTGAGTCTCGTGTTTGTTTTTCTTAGGCAAAAATTGTATCAAAAGAACAACATTGGTGCTGTGACAGGAATCAGGCCCTCCTTGAGTATTCAGCTACCGCTTACTGTTGGATGGCCAGCCTGAAGTATTTGTGAACCCTGATTACAAACACCACCCCCCCCCCAGTTCCCTGGAAATACCATCCCACACCAGCTTCAATTAGGTAAGGTACCCTTTTTAAATTTTAACCAATTTCTTTAAGGTTGGGTACAATCCTCACAGGCGGAAGACATACGACCCAGGGCGGTATATCTTGTTCTGATCTCAGACTGCTGAGTCCTTCTGGCCTCTGTTGGCCCTGGCTACGTTTTCGGGCTGAGGAGCTACGAATAACGCTCTGCCATTCTCGCTTATCCTGTGGCCACACTCTTCAGCTGATGAGTTCCAAGAGTGATTCTCTCTCCACCCATGGGGAATAAACCAACCAAGGAAATATCCCTCACCACTCCACTGGGATGCCTGATAGAAAATTTAAAATCCTTTCACTTAAAGCCACTTCTTAAGGTATCCAGATTTATTTACCTCTGTACTAAAAGTAGCATAGATATACCCTAGAAAATAATTCAAATTGGCTGCATAAGGGCTCTCTAGATCCTGATATCTTACAGGATTTTTCAAATTACTGCCAGCGTACAGGTAGATGGAAGGAGTTTCTTCTACCTCTTTGCTAAACAATCTCCTTCCCTAAACTTGTTTCTGTTCTCTTCCAGCCATGCTAAAACTCTCCTGCCTGCCACAGCTGAAGCCTGTCTCAGGGCAATGGGCTGGGTTGAGGCAGCATATGCTTAAGTTTTTCATTCTTCTCCACGAATGAGGTTTTCAGATTTTGTCCCCTAGCACCACTTATGCTGACTGGTGCAGTCGTTTCTCAGACCCACGAGGAGTCTCTTGGGTTTTATACCCTAGCACTGCCTTTAGATTGGTACATACATTGCTCAGCCCTACGGTGGTCTTTTTGGATGTAGTACCCCTTGGATTCCGGTGTCCTGTTAGTTTCAAAAATCCTTCTGCCTCACTCATGGAGAGAAAAATAAAGCCAACAAAATCATATCTCAAAACTTTATGAATTCTGCCAGCTGTTGGGGATATGGCAGCCACCATCTTGACCAGGTGGCCTAGCCTCACCGCCCCCCCCCCCATGGTTCTTTCCTCTGCTACATCAGCCACCTAGGCAGAGGGAGTCTAGCCAGCTTCTGCTACCAACAGAACCTGTAATTCATTTACCTTTTGCCTCTTATTCTTTGTCTCTAATTTCTTTTTTCACTGACTGTGTTATACATAGCTTCACACTCTAGTCCTTCTTATTTTTACCCAGTGCTGTTTAATATATCTGTACATTTGATTTCAATTTAACTTCATGTAAATGTAAGATAACTTCATACAACTTAAATTCAACTGCGGTAAGTCTCAAATATTTCTAAATGTGTCTTTAAATGGTGGTAAACATTTAAGGTTATAAATTTCTATTTCAAACTAACAAAATATTATGCCACCCATGTATTTTACAGGTATAAGTCTAGCCTACTAAGTTAAAACCAGGTGCAGTCAGGGTGCAGAGCTCTGAGTATATATAACATCCCTCCACAGCGTCTCGGCTTGGATTCAGTTTTCCAGACAGATTAATTAATTACAGGGATAATCCCTTACCTAGCCACCTATGTGTTTAAGGCAAGTAACTAAAGACAAATTTTGTATACTAAGGTATGCTAAACAGTCAGACAGCCCTCAAATGCTCAGAGATCTAGAGAAAATGGCATTTAAAATGTTTCATTAAAAAGCTTTTATAACAGAGAGACAGGCCAGCTGCTGGCACCACCCATTTCCTCCAAGATGACTGATGGACACTGAAGAAGCTCCACCCACAAAAGTGGCAACACTAGACACTGAACAATCCTGCATTTCATCTCACCTGATGCAAAGGGCTCTAAGGACCTTGAACAAGAGAGCAGTGGAATCAACTTTCTCCACATTGCTCGGGCCAAGGGTAGGTAAGTCTTCCAAAAGCTACTAATCCACAGGTCTTGTGCCATCAGCAGAAGGCAGATATTCTTGAAACCTCTGACTTCAACAACTATGGAGGACCTGGGGTGGCTGCCCATGCTGCCAACTAGTGAGTCTCTGTTACTCTCTAATCATTCAGGTAAAATTTTATCCTTCTCAAGAACTCTGATGCTTTTTATGACTGGTAGCTTTGTCAGCTTAAAGCAGCAGCCAAGGCTCTAATTGTTATAAAACAGATTTTGAAACCGGGTATTTTAAAGTTGCTACTGTTTATAGCCATAACATTAATCAATAAAGTTTTAATAAGCTACTAATCCAATTCTGACAGTGTTAAACATCATACTATGCCATTATGTGACTATAAGGTCACAATTAAGGTGTTTTTCATTGTGCTAAATATGTGCCAGTTGTATGTGTTAGTTCTTTCAGCCAAACCATTTCTAACATGAGTATGCTGATAAAGTGTCTAATATTTATGTTTCAAAAACTCAAAGGATTATTTTAAGTTACAGGGAGCTGAATTGGATCCATTTACAGGTCAGATTCACTCCAAATAAATATTACCTAACCTTTTCCTGGGACCCCCTTGAGAGCCTCTCCCCCACCTTACTTCTTCCATTAAGTACTCAGACCTAAGAGAAAAAACTTAACCTTGTCCTCTGCTCTGTTAACATCTTGCCAGGTCTCAAATAGATGCCAGAGCTCCATACAGTCAGGATTGTGATGAAACAACCAACTACCAGGAAAATGTGGCAGAACCCCCCCTTTTCTAATTCCTCCAAAGAGGATCATCCTCCAAGTCAGCAGGAAGCAGTCTTGAGAACTCAAAGTCCTTATTCCCTAACCTGCCACGCCCAACAACCACCTTTTTAATAACAATAAGAGGTGGGAATGTTGGGAATCATCAGCTGCTGACCCTAGCCCCTAATGATGGGCCAGATGCTTATGACCATATCATCCCTACTTCAGGCTTTACTGGGCTGCCAGAGGTCTCAATTATGCATGCACAACCCCCCCCCTTTTAAAGCAAGTGCTCCAAGTGTGCCTCTCTCTCTTGCCCTCTCTTGTTCATTCTCTCTGCTCTTTCTCTTTTTTTTCTCTCTCCCCTGATTTTGCTTGGCCACCAGCTACCCCACCCTCTCTCCCCTCTCTCAATAAACTCCAGATGGGCACTGAGTCTCGTGTTTGTGTTTCTTAGTCAATTATTATAGCAAAAGAACAACAGAACCCACTGTTCCTACAGAATTCTAGACTCTTAAATTGAATGTCCTACTTATTTATATGTTTAAGAGTTATTTCTATAATAACAATAAATGTTCAATCGAATGTCTTAATTATATGTTTAAGAGTTATTTCTATAATAACAATAAATGTAATAAATGTCTATTGATGTTGACAGTATAAAAACTCAATAAAAGTTCTGGAAGATAAAACAAAACTGAGCTAATCTGTTAGCTTGGAAAATAGCAAATGAAAAGAAAAGGGCAAAATAATATTGAAAATTTTAAACCAGTTACAAATACCAAATCCCAATCTCAGATGTAAGAAGAAGATAGAAAACAAATAAATAGCTTAACTTTTGGAGATTTCAGAAACTAAAAAGCAAAAATTTATCTAATAGCATCCATTTACCTTAAAAATAATGAACATATACACATAGCATGTCATATATATAGTGACATTTATTTATGATTTATTAAAACTTGACTGAGGATTCAGAAAAGCAAAGTCAGCCACAAGCTATAGAGATTGGGCAGTGGTGATACACACCCTAAATCCCAGCAGCCAGAAGCTAGGAGGTGATGGTGCACCTTTAACCCTAGGACACAGGAATAAGGAGTTGATGAATTTCTCTGAGTTCAAGGCCACCCAGATCTACACAAGAGTGAATCAGTCTGAAAGACAATTATAGCTTACACCTTTAACCCCAACATTATTAAGTATAGAAGATAAAAGCAAGGTCTCATTAGAGAAACCTAGATGCCCCTCACCTGAAGAGTAGATAGAGAAAATACGGTACACTTACACAATGGAGTACTATTCACTGGAAAAAAAACATGGAATGTTGGGATTTGCAGACAAATGGATGGACCTAGAGAAAACCATCTTGAGTGAGGTAGCCCAGTTGAGTGAGGAACATGTTCTCTCTCATATATGGATATTAGACATAGAGCAAAGGATCACTAGCCTACAGTTCATACCACCAGAGAATCTAGTAAGCAAGGAGGAGGCTAAGAGAGAAGGGAAAAGGGACAAGAACTCCTGAGCAAATTGGGAGCATGGGGAGAGGGGAGAGTTAGGAGAAAGTGAAGGGGCGAAGAGGAGGGGAGAGGAGGACATGAGGAATCAGGAAGATTGAGACAGGGAATTGAGGAGAGCCAATAAAGAATAGAAGAAGCCATGATAGGTCCAGAGAAATCTACCAATAAGGAAATGTCCAGAAATCTACAAGGATGATCCCAATAGTGGAGATGTTACCTTAAATGCCCTTACTATAATGAGATTGATGACTACCTTACATACCATCCAAGAGCCTTCATCCAGTAGCTGATGCAGACACCCACAGCTAAGCACTGAGCTGAACTCCTGGAATCCAGTTGTAGAAAGGGAGGAGTGATGAGCAATGCGGTAAAGACCAGGCTAAAGAAATCCACAGAAACAGCTGACCTGAACAAGTGGGAGCACATGGACCCCAGACTGATAGCTCAGAAACTAGCAGTAGGACTGACTCAGACTCCCTGAATATGGGTTTCAATTAGGAGGACTGGGCAGTCTATGCAGCCTCTGTTAGTGGATCATTATTTATCCCTAGTGTACAAATGGACTTTGGGAGCCCATTCCACATAGAGGAACACTCCCTCAGCCTACACACATGGGGGAGTGCCTAGACCCTGACCAAAATGATGTGACAGATGTGAAGATCCTGCATGGAAGTTCTCACCCTGCCTGGGTAGCAGAAATGGGATTGAATGGATAGGAGTTTGGTGGTGGGCAGAGGAGGAGGGGAGGGAGAAGGAACTGGGATTGACATGCAAAAACAATTATTTCTAATGTAAATAAAAAAGTAAAAATAGAAAATAAAATTCCAAGATAAGTTAAAAAGGAAAAAGCAGTTTGCCAGAAAATGGCATAGCTTATACTGCAAGCCTAACCAAATGAATCAATCCCTGGAATCCATGTAAAGGTGTGCAAAAGAGTCTTCTGAAATCCATTTGTGGATCATGCCTGGTTGCTCCTGCATGCATACCTATATATCATGTACACATGTGCTCATACAATAACAAAGTTTTAAAAGGAGAAAAGTGTAGTACAAAAAATGAAAAAAATGATTGCAAAATATTTCACATGCATATAGGCAATTTAAGCTATGTGTATGAAATAAAAGCTATAGTTATATATAGCTTCCATAGATTCATTAATATCTTCATTACGCTAAATATTTTTGTGTATTTGTGTGGGAATGGGTATGGACACAGCATGCATGTGGAAGTCAGAGGAAAACTGTCAGGAGTTGGTCTTTTTCCATCATGCAGGTCATGGGGATTAAATTGAGATCATTAGACTTCATATAAAGAGCATTTATCCTTGGAGCCATTTTCTCAGTTCATATATATTAACATTTTAAAACATGAGAAATGTTCAGAAGTTGAAAATGACTTTATAAATACTATGCTGATGTAGAAAGTATTAGTACATCACTCCATTTTCTTAAAAGAATTTTGTAACCAGTTGTTCATATCTCACTTCATCCTGATTGCTATTCACCTTTGGTGGAGCTCCCCAGCTGCTTGATGTTTTGATCACAGAGGCCCCTCAAATCTACAGGGAGCAGAGGATCCTAGAAATTCTATGCTTCAGGCTAACAATGCTAATGAAACATCATGAGAGTTCAAAAGCCTAAGTATGACTAGCAATTCATTGTTTATTCCAACAACTGAAACAAGAAAGGTTTTTAAGTGTTACCACCATGAAGAAACAATAAATAGGGTCTTATGCAATGTCTGAGTCAATAAATTGCTGGTGTTAAAACGAATGAACACTTAAGGGTGGTTCACCACTACCCACTTTCGATGAGGGATGTCCTATTGTAATTTGTAAATATGTTTCCCTTTTGGTTGATGAGTAAAGCTGTTTCCAGGCAATAGACCGGCAATATGTATTTGGGCAGGCAGTATAGGTAGTGCTACTAGGCTGAAAGAATTCTAGAAAGAGGAACACAGAGAGGAGTCTTGAAGGAGATGTGGTGTAGTAAGGGAGAACACCTGGGCATTTTCCAGTAAGAAAAAACAATGGGGAGATATATGCATTAGTAGAAATGTGTTGTTAATTAAGAGAGAGCTAGTCAATAAGAAGCCTGAACCATTGGCCAAACAGTTTATAATTCATATACACCTCTCTATGTTTATTTGGGACTAAATGACTGCAGGAAGGATAGGACAGAAACTTCTGTCTGCAACTTACAAAGCTGATATAGAAGTGTGTGTTGTGTCTGTTATACAATTCTTGAAGAAACAGAGACAGGAGGATGCAGGGAGCTTACTAGATGGCCAGTACAGCTGAATCAGTGAGCCCCAGGTTCAGTTAGGAACTATTTGAAATCAAGGGGGAGAAAACACAGAAAGATACTGAAGGTTCTTTGATCTCTTGTTTCCACATGAAAACATGTGTACCTAAATAAATATGTACATACAGATACACCTAATATACATATTGACACACATGCACACATACATAAAATATGTTTAAGAATGAATTCTGTAATTAGTCACAACAGAGGAAAATATGACACTGTTCCCTTCATATACAATATTATTTTTAGTTAAAAATTAAATGGAATAGGGCCAGCCTAAATAAAGTAAGAAAATGAGCAAAAACATGATTTCCCTTGCTTTATGAGGCTTAAAAAGCTGTGAGAATTAAGCTCTAAATTTCTATGTGAAATCAAGGAGTGTAGAACTGTATATGATGTCACTTTTGAACTTAGAACTTCCTTTTCATATGCCGCTTCCCATATTATTTTGATTACTCTGTTATTGTTTTTTTCATTGAGTTATATGCATTGATGCTTTGGCCCAACACCTAGTAATAGGAGAATTTCACATATTTTGTGTGCTGATGAAGAGATATTAAGTAAAAGGTGCTTATTTACTCATTAAATTATTTTTAAATTGAATTATACGTTGTTTGTTTTAGTTTACCATAATCAAATTTGGTGTCAGATACTGATAACTGAATGGAAGATTGTGTCAATCAGGTTGCCAGATGTTCACAGATCCTTATGGCATATACTCTGCTTTAAGCAAACAAAACTTCAACAAGGCTTTTCTTTAATTCCTAACTCAATTTGTTCCCAAGCTTAAGTGCACAAGAATATATTCCACACCCCTAGTGTATATTGGGAATAAGATGAGTACAGCAAGACTCACTCCCCATTATATGCCACTGACTATTTCCTCTTGTCCAGCTTTCCTTTCTTCTACCACATAAAGAAATCCCATTTTCCAATTTATTTTGTGTTCCTGAATACAGGAGCATGTTCTGTACTGCAATAATCCCTTCCTTCCACAACATCTTTTGTAGGCAACTCTTAAACATATCTTTATCTGTTTCTCATGACAAGTTTTCCCATTAGAAATAAAGTTATTTTGTAGTTTAAAAAGTAAATGCCTTACAACAGTGATTTTTCTTTCTTTTTTTGAATAACAAAATTATTAAACAGAACGTACTTTCCAAGATCACATTGCATTTCTGGTATTCTCTTTGCTTTTGGAAGGTCAGTTGTTAATTTCAGTAAATACCAGAACTCTTCACCCATTTCAGGCTGAAAAATAATGCTGTTGTAGAGAAATTTTGAAGATATTGTCAGTTGTTTATATAATAATTGTGGAAGAGAAAAAATATAAAATGGTGGAAATATCTGGTTTAAAATACAGTATTTAATCCTTACTGTGTTATGTATACCAGTCTTAGCATGAATGTATTTGTAAGTTTTCAAGTTTTGATGGGAAGATTACTTCATTAAAGAAATGAAATATTGTTATTAATACACATTTCATAAATATTCATTGAATGGACACTGATTGCATGAGTTTTAAACATCAATGTTAGAAAACTTCATGGTCTATAGCTGTAGTTAAATCAAATTTACTGTATTGGATTGAATGTAGCTGTAGTTAAATCAAATTTACTGTATTGTATTGAATGTATGCACACATTCACGTGAAGGTTATCATAAATATGCAGTTTTTAAATAACATCTCTATAAACATCATGTACTCATCCCTCAGAAGATAAGAGTTTTCTAAAATGTAAATGTTGATAGCTCAGCTTTATTGTATTATTTTTTGTATAATTTCAATAACATCACCTAACTTTTTGAATTAGAACTTCATTATTTATAAAATGTGATGAATCAGTCAGCCTTGCCTTACTCTTGTCATTAGAATTTCATGTACATAATATATATATCAAGATGATAATAATAGAGTAAGCAAGTAATAACAAACCTAGAGTACTCCTAATTCATACGAATGAACAAAAATAAACTTTCCACTGATACATGTAAAGACATTAGAGAGACGAGAGATGCCCACATTTCAAATGATAATCTATTACAAGATATTTTTCAATAACAACCTGTTCTTGTCTTCTTCTATAACATTTGGATCTTCTTCATCTGCTTCTAGTTTTTACATTTTATTAATATCTTGAGACAAGACTAGGTCTTGAGAGCCTATGTTCAAGCTGGTCTAGAAGTCACTTTGTAGTTTGGACTTGCATCTTACTCAAAGAGTCCCCTGTCTCCTGAGTGATCGGGATTGCAAAAGTCAGCCACCATGTTAGGGAAATGAAATAACATTTTCCTGATTTATACTAATATGAATTTTATCCTTTAGAGTCTAAAATAACTTATTTCTTGTATTCCTTCATTGAAATTATAGTTATTACTATGATAGGAAGCAAGACAAAAGATTTTAATAGTCATCATTCTCTGCAAAAATGTACTCACACTGCTAATATATACATGTATGAATGCATGCATGTACAAGCATGTATATGCTTTCACTAGAGGATAGTATTTGTAATGTGACTTTGTCTATGTTTTGTAAGCAAATTATTTATAGATATTTACTCAAAGGAGACATGAATTTTTGTCTAGAAAAGTAAAAGTTAAATCCTTAGTTCTCATGAACCATCCTCAGTTCAGTTGTTACCCTAAGGAAGATTTGACTGGTAAAAAGAAAAATAAGAAATTTGGAATGTTTTAATTTTATATTTTAGTGAATAGCAATATTTCACTGAAGCAAACAAAAACTGTCAATTAGTACATATTATTAAAGAATAGCCCTAACTTCTTCAATAACAAATAACAATAAGAGCCCAAAGCCACCTTTCTTCTTTATAGCCTGTGGTTGCTGGAGAATACCATACAACGTAGTTCACACATTCCAATGGATTCAGTCTCATTTCCTCTGGTCCATTAAGAGCAGAGGATGTTAATTGCACATCCATACGAATAATTTTATCTTTTGGATTTGAGATGGGAATTTCAATGCAGATAGTCTCCTAGGTTAATGGAAGAAAAGAAAGACAAGATCAACTTTTGTTATCATTATAATCATTTGTCTAGGGAAGGAAACAGAAAGAAAATTATTACTTAAGGCCACTTGTTTTATGTTTTTCAAGAGCTTTATTACCATGAGTTCCATTTTCTAGTATTTCCTCTGGTGATAACTCATTGATGGCATGGAGCTACATTTTACCGATTTTTCTATGAAAACTAATGAAATTTGTATGACTAGTATAGAACTTAGGATTTTAAGAATTTTCAAGGGTCAAAAAACAAAAATAGTCATAGTATAGGAATATGTGAAGATACTAATATCATCAAGCACATGTTGGTCTAACAATTTTGCCTAGTACTGAAGAGAGAAAAAATGGAAGGAAAACAATTGGCCCTCTACATTTGTACTCATCTACTAGTCAGATATGATTCACAAACTAACAGTGTTAGACTTCGAATATGCTACACAGTCTCAACAAAGTAAAAACCAACCCCAACAAATCAAGAAAAACAAAACAAATAAGAGAATCCCTAGGCTATTACTATTTTGGTACTTATTATTCAGTATTTTATTTCTTAAAAATAATTTTGGGCCAGCCAGATGGAAAAGTTGCTTGCTGCCAAGTCTGACTACCTAAGATCAGTCCCCAAGGCCCATATAGAAAAACAGAACCTACTCCTTTCAAAAAATTCTCCTCACAATTCCACAAACACACTGAGGTAATCTCTCTCTCTCTCTCTCTCTCTCTCTCTCTCTCTCTCTCTCTCTCATACACACACACACACACACACACACACACACACTAAATCAAATAAAACTAAAATAAATCATGTTTAACCTACTCACATTTTAAGAACTACACATTAAATATGTAATCTCTGGCTTGGAAAGGAATAGCATTTAGAATATAAAATTTTAGAGTATGCCATTACTAACAACACTGAAACATAAAATAAAATCGTTTTCATGAATCAAAAATTTGCTCTGAAAGCCGGGCTATCCTGGAACTCATATTCTGTCTCCACTCTGCATTTCTGGCATTATAGCCAAGATTTGAAATTTAAAATATAATGCTTAAAAGCAGTAACACAAGTATTTATTTTCCAAGAAAATTATAATAAACTGTGGTTCCCTAAATCTTAAGGGTAGATGGAATGTGAGAATGTAAACCATGAGGCACTAATATGACAGTGCCTCCTTGGCATCCTTGCTATATCCATGACAAGCTATCTCTATGTGAACACTTTATTCTAACCTAGTAGGTTTAGAAACATTCTCTAATTCTTTCAGAGATGAACAGTTAGATAGCAATTGCTAAATGCTTATTAACTCTGCATTCCCTTGAGAATCCCTGGAGTATAACTTTCAGAACTAAACTACAGCAAAAATGAAAATTTTATTATAGTCACAAAATCTAATCTTATGCTATATGTTACTATGATATCTAACTAAAATTGTAGAAAATCCATCAAATTTTATATTATGAAAATTAGCTCCACATTTCAAACTCAAAGAAAAATCCCATATGTGACAATTTAAAAGTATGATTTCATATGGATATTTGCAGTTTAATAGTAGGCCAAAATATTCCCAAAGAAACTTAGAAAGCTTAACTTTTATAGATACAAGTACTTTTTAGGAATACAAACCATTTACTCTATTTATGTTTGATAAGTTTAGTAGGATAAGAAATTTGTCAATCACTATTTTATTAGATGATAAACATTTTTGTGTCTGTATTTTGGCCATTTGAATAAATTCAGATATATATCATCATTTTGGTCTAATAATATAATATAATGTATCATTGTGAACAGTGCCAGAGACCTTCATTCCCAATACTCAGGAGACTGAGACAGGAAGATGTTTAGAGTTTGCTGTAAGCCTGGGCTATCCCAGTCTAAAAAATGTAGAAAGAAAATTACAGCCACAAAATTCTTAATATCTTCTTGGTCATTGTTTTTCACCACATTTCATATTCATTATTATAATAAATTAACTTTTACACTTGAGGAGTTAAATTTATGTAAGTGCTTTTTAAAAAAGTTTAAAATATTTGGCTTTTATTTATCTTGCCAATGACATAGTATTCTATCTTGACGAGTAAGTCTTTAAAGTTCATTTATATTTAGAATAAATCATAAATCGGTTTTGACTCATTCCTTGTAACTCAAGTAAAATAGTAATGAGTACACATGGAGAGTTCTAAAGCTATCTTTCATCTTCACACGAATTCTTTTCGGTTCAACAATAGAGCATTCCTTTATAAACTATCTAGTAGTGTTCTCTTCCTTGTCCTTAATAATATTAGACACAAAAATGTGTATGTTAAATTGCTTCCATATGTTTATTCCATCATGTAAAATATAAAAACATTAAAATATGGGAATCATCAACAAAATGTGATTTAAAGTAATAGAAAAGTATCCATAGAAGATTGTAATAATATTCTTAAATGTATATTAAAATATTTAAAAACATTTATGTTATAAACCAGTTCAGAGGCAAAACTAATGCACATGTTGGTTTTTAGAGATATGTAAGCTATACTTTTACTATAGATTTTATTTATATGTTTACTACTTTTATCTCAATGCAAACATTTCAAGACGTCTAAAAACATCATGAAACAAGTAAGTCATTTTACACGATCTATTGGCAAGGTAACACATGGAATAATATCTGGCATGCATTTTGAATCTCTTTGAGATCCAGCCATGAGGAAATTCACTGGTTACATGATCCTCCTCCCACTTATTTGGTTCAAATTCCAAGCACACATGCATCTTTTCTTTTCCTAAATGTCTGTGCTCCCTCATACTTTGCTTTCAAGCTAAGTGTCTTCCCAGTGCTCATACATTTATTTGTATTTCCATCTGTAAGCACAAATACATCTTCAAGCTACCTTTGTTATCACCCAAAAGTGTTCTTATTTCAGAGATAGCAATTTCTACATTTATCTGCTCCTTTACTGTAACAGCGATAGTTACACTGGGTGAATAAAATTTGGTGACATGTAATGTGACAACTTTCATTGTTTCTAAAAATATAACGTTTAAAATACACAATATGATAATTTATACACATATATAATGTGTTTTGGAAGGCAGGAATACACCTACAGTGTATTTTATTCATAGAAACCCTAATTTTTCCATACAAATCCTTCCACAACTTGAACCAAGTGGCCATTACAACTTCATGTCTCAATCATTTTCTCCTCTTCCTCCTATTGCTATTATTCCTGAAGGAGCCTAACTAGTGTTGTCCATATATGCATGGATGCAAGCAATTCACTGGAGGATGCAAGGGGCTAACTACCAAAGAAAACTGATTCTTTATCACCCCAACAGCTATCTACTGACCATGTCAGTTGACAACTTTCTCTTGACTGCTGCTCTCTGAATTTTTGAAGAAACCTGCCCTTCTCATCTCTCTGTAGTTATCTTAAAGTAGTTTTCAATATGGAAAGTTATTTTCTTCACATATTTAAAGAAATTCAAAATTGGTCATGTTTGTTCTACCTGACTGCTTTTCCTGATCCCATTTCCAATGCTCAAGATTACCTAGAAATTTCCCAGTTTGAGGAAGAAGGTTTACAGGACATAGTCTTTTCAACCCTCTAGATGCAACTGCATTTCATTTCATAATTATTTTTCAAATACAACACTTTCAGTTTACAAGATACAGGGTGGACAAAAGAAAAAAGGAACAGCATTAATTGTTGCTGTTCAACTTTCTCCATTTGACTAACTAAATTCTTACTATTTTGCCTTATTTTAGTCACTCAAAGAAGGACAATTAAACTGTCAGCTGAGGAAGAAACACTGTTACTGTATTACAGATATCATGTTTATTGCCCGGAAATGGGTGAATATTTCTCATCTCCCTTGATCAGCCATAAAAAAACATCTTTGCAATAAATGTCTATGCTCCTCACTCATAGTATGACCAAGTAGCTGGACAGCAGAAGTACAATCAGAAGTTACATTTCTCAGGTACTCTTGCACATTGGTATCTTGTTATCGCTAATGGTATGTGAGTGATATCATTATATCTTCTTTACAGCAAAGCAATTAAAAAATATAGCAGAAATTTTGTTTTAGTTTCTCCCATCTGATATATAGGATGAAGGAATTATAAAATGGAAGGATCTTGGCTCCCTGAATTACAAAATGGAGGATGTCTACCCATTACTACAGAATATTTGCACCAGATTGTTAAAATTATTTTATCTTATATTAATAACTTTTGAAACCCTGGGATTTATTTGTAATGACAAAAAAACTGCAATATTTTTAGTACTTTTAGTGATTCTTGAACAAATGATGCAGCAACACATATTATAACATGAAAACATAATGAACTGTTTCTTAGGTTACTGATTTTTATCTGAAAATATAAGACAATAAAAATATATCACAAGAAATTTCTCATTTCAATTATTGTGTTTGTTTTCTATATCTATTAGAACATTCATTTCATTTACTGCAAATGCTGTCTATACTTGGAATGTTCATGACTTTTCCTCACCCTATAGCTAGAATAGGGCCATAAATATCAGAAACACAAAGTACGTATTCATGGTATAATGAAAGTTGTGGCTTATGTAAAGACAATATGTGTGTTTATAAATGTAACTACCCATGTTCCTGACATACTGAATACTTAAAGTACCCATGTGAAAATCTGACATTGACACACTTGAAATCTCAAGTCTGTCCACATTACATTGTTTCTTGAAAGGTATTGATTGAAGGCAGCAACTTGAGATGAGAGCAGAATTTCATCACCTCACCAAGTGCTTTAACTGAGAACATCATTACTCTTCGCTTGGCTCACATAAATATGGTGTTTTCACAAAGACACTATTAAGGCAATCTAATAGGAAGTAGCAGGAAATAGTTTCACCATATCTGAATATCAGAGGGGCAAAGCAGCCAGCTCTTACTTCTTCCAAAGCTGAAATGGAGATCTTGTCTTCCATGTTATTGGAAACTAAACCTCACATGAGACACTTTGCTTCTTCCTTAAATACCTCTGCAGTGCTGGGATTAAAAATGTGAACTCTGTTTCTCTTTTAGGTTGGATCAATCAAGCCCTGGGTGGCCTTGAACTCACAGAGATCCATCTGATACTTCTCCTGAGTCCTGGGATTAAAGATGTGTGCCACCACTGCCCAGCTTCTGTGGCTGTGGCTAGCTTTGCATTCTGATCTTCAGTGGCTTTATTAGATCAAAAGCAATATTATCATGACAAAAGATGTTGTGTGAATAAAATTATGCTGTTTAGAAATAAAATTTATGTGGGCATGGAGAAATAGCTCAGTGGTTAAGAGCACCTGTCACACTTGCAGAGTACCTAGGCTCAATCATCAGCACCCATAGAGTGGCTCACAACCATCCTGAACTCAAGTTCCTGTGGATCCAATACTATTTTCAGGCTTTGAGGGCATCAGAAATACAGGCAGTAACAAATATAGATGCATACAGACAGAAACTCATACATATAAAATAAAAGTAATAAACAAATCTTTAAAAGAAAAATAAATGAAAATAGTCTTTTAAGTCTCCACATTACTGAAAATACTGGGCCATGGAAATAGGGTATTTTCACTGAGTGAAATGATCCTATCATCATTAAGCTAAATACTTTCCCACTTAGAAGATAATACTTTTGCAAGCTACACTTGAATACATTTCAACATTTTCATCATGTATTTTCTAAGCTTCAATGGAGATTCAGCCTGAAAACACCTTGGGATATAATCAACTTAAAGACTTAAATTATTTCTTATTTGATGTTATTAGGAGTGAATTTAAATTTCTTGATATCATTAGGAGAGCTAAACTTCAAGATTCTATGAAAATAACACTATAGCTATGATAAACTTAAATTTCTGGATTCTAACAGTACATTTATTATATGTAAACTATTATTAGCAATTAATGCCATTTTGTTTCACTTAAATCTAGACTACTGATGTTTAAAATTATTAAGCAATTTTCAAAACAGATTTATTAACACATGAATAACTTAATTAAGAAAATCTCCCCAGGCAGTGGTGGAGTACACTTTTAATCCCAGCACTCCTAAATCTAGCCTAGAACTCTAAATACATTTTAAAGTAAACATCTTACTGTGGATATTGAGAAGAATGCATGCTAGAATCCAGAGACCACAGTTCTACTTTTACCACATATATGGAGAATAAAGGATTTGGGTAATGTTAAAGCTACTTAACTGTTGAAATATACAGGCAGAATGCTAAGTAGGAAAATACCTACAAGATGCCATATAACTAAAAGATATTTCTCCAAAGCATTTAAGCTCTAGAATTGATCTGATTGATTAATCTTAGTATACTCCATTGGGATATGTATTTTAAGGATAGGAACTTAGTGTATAACAGCAATGTTTCCCAAATGAACATGTACTGGGCTCTTACCAGAGCAATACAGTGAAGTTCAATTGTGTCTGCAGGAGGTCCAGGAGAGCTATGGATCTCAAGATGATACCAGATTTTTAAACTTTTAACCTTTTCATCTGAGGAAAAAAAATTAAGAGACAACAAACAAGCACTACTTAATTTAGATTTCAGAAAAAATATACACAAATAAAATCCACAGACCATTTTCGAATTTCCCTTTCTTTTTTCTATTTACATTCCTTTTTCTTTGCACTTACTATGTAGCCCAGGCTACATAGTAAGCATGGCATTAAACTTCCATGATCCTCATGCCTCAGAATCCCAAATCCTAGAATTACAGGTATGCACCATGATGCCTGGCATCTATGGCACTTTCATTGAGACTTATAGGAAATCTGTGGATATCACGAGCTGTTTTCAGTGCAGCAGTGAGTAGCAAGTGAAGCCCCATCATGAATGGCCAGGCAAATATCGGTGATTCTCCTGGCTTTATGCCTATTTTAGTAACTCATTCACTTCCCCAGTATAGTAAATATAAGAAGCTTTCAAGTCAAGCATTAATGGTCTGAATGAAAAATATTTTATCCTACCTGATAAAACATTCATGTACATATACCAAGAACTGTTTAAATAAAGCATTGCAGTGAATGGTCACATAAGAATTTAAATTTAGGAGAGGAAGAGGAGTATGAGGCTCACATACCATGGAAGTTTTAAAAACCTTTGCAATTTAACTCAAAGAAAGGTAGAAAGAGGTTTAGGCGAGGTAGTGAGATGTTTATGTCAGCATTTCCAGTTTTTGTAGCAGACAGTTCTGCCACTTTTGATAAAGACACTGGAATGAAAACTGAAATCTTCATCAGTTTCATAGAGACATTTTGTACTTGCATCAAATACATTTTTTTCTGTACAGTTGTTTCCACCTGCATAGGATCTCATTTCTGGATTGTTTGTTTTTATGGTACTGAACTACCTCATGGCGAAGAATGAATTGTATTCATAGTGGTGACTATGTGTTTAAAATTTTTCAAGAACTATGATGCTAGACTGAATTATATAGTTAGTTAATAAATTCCTTTGACCTCTGTTTATCAGTAAATAAGGAGCTTACAATAGTGGTATTATCAGTGTGTCTCTTCTGAAATCTTCATGTGTATGATGTTTTGCATGGCAGTGCAATGCATTATATTAAAAGACACTTTTTTGTGACCTCATATGACAATGAATGACATACAATTTTGGGTTTCACAGTATATTTCATTGATATACTCCATTCTATTCTTGTATTATAGTATATTGTCTTGCACTCTAGCCTATAATATCTTGCTATAATAAAATATATAAAAATATATGGATCTGAGACACATTCAGAACTGCAAGTTAGAGAGTGAAGGAAACAGAGGAAGCCTAGGTAAGCTCCTTTTTGGCAGGCTTGGAAGTATCTGTGTAGAACAGGTTGGTCTCAAACTAACAGAGATCTACCTTCCCCTACTCCCCAAGAGCTGGGGTTAAATGCATGTGCCACCACCACACTAAGCCAGATAGGTTCATATTTATACACAAACATACAGAGAAAGATAAACTCTTTCAGATTTGTGTATTCCTGAGAACTTTACTTCTCTCTGATTTTGACACAGAATGTAATTACACCTGTCATACATAGGTACAGTGTGTGTGTGTTCATGGAGGTTGTGTGGGGGGTATATATGCATGTGGATGGGAAGAGGAGCAGACAAATAGAGAAGACACCTATTGCTTTTATTGTTTAAAGAATTGCAACACATACAAATTCAATAGAAATGCAATTGGGATGTATTGTATGAGGGAAGAATAAAGAAAATGAAAAAAATACATAAGCAATAAATATCTTCTTGGTATGCCTCTTTGCTTTGAGAATTTTGCATGTTTGTATCAATGTTTCTCAAATACACACTTATAATGCTGATACTCACACAATTTATTTTCTTTTGTGCTTCTAAAAATATCTATTTCACATATTTAAGATTTATAAGAAGAAAAATTAAAAGGCAGATTTAGCATTTAATGAGATGATCATGTGATTTTCTTCTTTTGGTTGGATTATTCATAGGGTAGATTACATTGCTAAATTTCCATATGCTGAACCGTCCCTGGATGTCAGGGATGAAGCATATGTTCTTGGATTCAGCTTTCCAGTATTTTATTGTCAATGTACATTAGGGAGATTGGTCTGTGATTCTTTCTCTAAGTTGTGTCTTTCAGAATTTTCTCAGACAACAGGTAGAAATTTTAAGAAAATGACTGCTACATTCCCAAGAGTTAGTGTGGGTATTTTTGGTCATTATATGGGTTATAGATATTTGTGATTGTTTACATGTTAGTTGCGAATTTTTAGTGGTCATGTCAGGAAGTAAGCTAAGCAAAGGAAATTAGAGTCAGGAAGGAAGGAGGGATATAGGAATGATAGAACAAAAGGACAGTTATATTTCACCTGTCTTTCCAGGTTTTCAGTTTGAGATGGAGAAGGGATCATATGAACAAGGGTGGAGGGGTTAAGACAATGATGGGGAAGATAACAGCTACAGCTGACCTGAGGTAGTGAGAACTCATGGACTATTAGAATGACAGCTGGGTTTTTTTTTTTTTTTTTTTTTTTTTTTTTTTTTTGTCAAAGGCTTTTAAAGCATCTAGTGAGATGATCATGTGGTTATTCTTTTTCAGTTTTCTCACTCCCTCCCTCTGCTCCTCCCTTTGTCTCTCCCTCCCTCCCATTCTCCCATCCTCCCATACCCTCTGACCACCCTCTCCTATCCCCCCCACATGTAGGGTGATGCCTTCCAGGAGGGGTCAACAATATCTTTCAATTCATTTGGAGTAGGGACTAGGCCCTCCCTCCTGCCTCTAGGTTAAAGGAGTCTCCCTCCATGGGGAATGTGTACCCAAAGGCCTTTTGTGCACCAGGGATACATGCTGGTTCCACTGTCAGAGGTCCCTTAGACTGCCCAGGCCTTCTAACTGAGACCCATGTTCAAGGGGTCTGAGTCAGTCCAATGCTAGATTCACAGCTATTAGTCTGGGGGCCCATTAGCTCCTCCTTGTTCAAGTCAGCTGTCTCTGTGTGTTTCTGTAGCCTGGTCTTGTCCTTCCTCTCAATATACAACACAAGTTACATTGCATTTTATGGATTTAAGGTGTATATTTAATTTAAAGTCAAATGATGATCAGAGTTTACACAGTACAAAAATAAAAGTCACTATTATAAGGTTACCTGAGTATTCCTCAAAAATAATGGTAGATGGATCTGATGGTGTTTCCTGAGAAGAGATGTCCTTCTCCTGATCTGTGTCTTCCTGAGACTCTTCTTCATCCCTGCTCTTAACAGAAAATGTAATTGCACCTGTAACACATAGATACAGGATGTCAGTTAAAACAGAGAGGAGTTTATGAAATGTTCAGTCTCAAGCATCAAAGTTACTATGAATTACACACCAAATATAAATTCTAAATGGTAGCACTAGAGTTAAATATGATGAGGCTATAGAACAATTAATTGGAAATTTCAAAGAAACATTATTAAAATCTTAAAAGTTGTTTTTCAACAGATATTCTATAATAAGAAAAATTAGCCAATACTTACTCCACATTAGCTTTCAGTAACTTAGTTATCCTGAATGATTTTGTTTATCGAATTTCTTCTTCAGACATTTATAACATTCCTATTTATTATCACATTTACAAAATATTTTGTTTTCCATAATTGCAAATTGCATAGTATTTGAAACTTAATCATTCAATAAACATTTAAGACAAAATATTTTGCATTTTGTCCTAAGATTGTGTTGAAATTTTCAGTGTAATTTTTGTTGTGTTAATAGGACTCCATAAAGCTGGTAGTAGTATGACAAACTGGGATTCTTACACTTATATTTAGAAAAGAATTCAGAAATTGTCTATGATAATTAAATATCAGGTTAGCATGGACAGGATTTTGCACACTAACCATGTGTTCTTAATCTTTCATCATAATTAAATAGCTTAGGCTAGTACCTATAAATACTATATAACTGCATTTAGTAGTATAATACTACATGTAAAGACAAGTATAATAATTGACATAAAACATCAAAATTTTCTTAGGTTTCATTTAATAGTGAATTTAAGTTATTATTTATTCTTGGGATATGTGTGTGTGTATCATCTTTATTCATATTGCTATTATTCCTGGTTGATAGATAACACTGTCCACATTTCTCCTGAATAAGAGAAAGAAATACCTAATGTGGAAAAAAGTATTTTCATTTGTTTGGGTGAGATATAAAAGTGTTATTATGTTTCTAAACAATGTTTTTTTCCTAGATAGTTTACTAAAGGTCCCAATATGTTTAACATTAGAGTTGTGTTGTAAAACATGGAAGCCATTCGTTATGTGTCATGATTAAGTAATTATGGTGGTAGTTTTGAGATAAACTATGAATAGGTACAAACACCTACATATAATGTATATTGCTAATAAATTAGTACATATTACATTTTAAGTTTGCAATATTTGTTTGGGGTAAATATTTAGAAACATTATCATATGGCTTTTATTATTTCTTTTGTACTAGGGTTTGCCTAGCACATATGAGACAATGTTATTACTACTGATATATATATATATATATATATATACATATATATATACTTTCATTTATATTTGTAATTATCAGGTTGTTTAAAAATATGCAAAAGCTTATTATTTATCTTGAAACACAGTGCTGTTACAAAAAAATTAGTTTCAGTATTTGCATGTAATGGCCATACATTTTATTATAAATCTACCATAGCTAACAATCTCAATGAATATTATATGAAGGTATTTAAATACACATTTCCTATGCTGACTTACCTATAATGTTTAAACTTAATTTTTCAGCCCAATACTAAGTAAGGAGTTTGTTAGAACACGATGAGATATAATGGTACAATAGAAAGAAGCACATAGCAGAAACAAATATTATAAATAAAGCCATGCCTATCTCAACCAAAGTTTGTGCAAATAAGGCAATTATATACATTAAATACTAAATGTGAAAGATTTAGCAATATGAAGTAATGAGAATGCTATATGGCTATAGTAAATATAAACTTAAATGGCCATTTGGGGTCAGCATCTATAATACTGTACAGAGCCATCAAAATTTCCAAGTAAATTCTACGTGGTAATAAAGTGAAGAATGTACTCACATGATTTGTTTTAGTTTCATTTGTAGTGATGTATCAGGTGGCATGTGTTTGTAATTACTGTACCACAATGTTAAACTGGTATTTATTATTTAACTCTAAAATGTAGACTAAAATGTTTGAAATAGACTACATTTACTAGGTTTGGTGCAATTAATTAAGCCACAGGAATAGTCTATGGGATCTTGGAAGAAATTATGTTTTTATGGGTTTTCAATATATTTGACATGTAACATTTTGCTATCATCAGTAGAACACATTTTGTTCCTACCACTATGAAAGCAAGAAGATAAAGACTTGAAAAGAATTGAGAAATTCATAATCACCAGCTTATTTCTTCTTTCATTGTTATTTTATGCTTTATTGTAATGAATGCATCTGCTATTATTTTATAAATGCACTAATTCACTGCATTTATCCATATTTTTAAATTACCTTTCCATGCCTATTACTGTCTACAAAGAATAGAAATATTATTCTTATGCCCCCTTGCATATCTCATACTGTTTTCATTATACCCTTCAAAATCCCAGGTTTCTTTAATAATAAAATTAAACAACATGACCCAACATAATCCTTGAGATTACCACAATATATTTAATTTCAAACTGCTTCAGATATTTTGTTTCTTCCTCAGTAATTTAAATTATTAATCTAGATTTTCACACTCTGCATAACGATTCCATCTAAGGACCTATTATTATAACAGTGTGTGCATAAATGTTTTATGCTCATAGATATACATTCAAACAGATATACACAAACTTTTCTATGGTCTATAGACAGAAGGCATGATACAAACTATAAAAAGTGACTGATGGCACACCCAGAATTGACCTATGCAAAACTGTTGATTGGGAAAATGTTATGCTACCAATTTTATGAAAAATGTTATAAAGGCAAGAAACAAGGTTTGAATCAATATTAATGGTTAACTACCACATACATAAATCTAATAAAATTGTAACAAATGGCTATAGATTCAGGAAATATGTACCTCTATAAATAGATCATTGAAAAGTAAAATGAGGAAAGTATTATAGTTTCAAACTTGCAATCCCTACTACTTTGAAAACATTGATCTATAACTCTGAATCATTACTAAATTGAGTAATAGCTCCTATCTAATGTACTATTCCTCACAGTAAAATCTGTCATTCCAGTTTTGGCATATAATTTTGCAACATCCACAAGTTTGCTATTTGTTATTCTATAACAGCTTCTCTCCTAATCCATATCCAGAAAGGTAAATGAGCACATGGTACAAAACCGTTATTTATGAAATGATTATGATATAATTTTGTAGAAATAAAGAAAGAGGAATGGATTTCTTATTACTGCTATTGACATCCATTACAATGTACACAATTTGATGCTATCATCCTGTCAAATGAATAAATTTCATTAGAATTTCTTTGACTTCATTATACTTTTAATGAAAACAGCATTTTGCAACTTTGTTTCTCACGATCTTTTGTGTATTATTTAAAGATTATGCATCATTATACATTTATTTCTGGAAGAATGTATGACATATAGATTCAAAAACATGAATTATGGCAGGTAGAAGATTCTGTTTTGGATTTTCAAAATCAGTAATATAGGAATGACCTGTTCTTTCTAAAAACTGTACTTATTTGAGAATATATTCAAAATAAAACTAAATTTGATATAAAACCAATTTCAACAGATATGATAATGTTGCTTAAAGACCACAACTACATAAATATTATTAGGATGGCAAAAATCAAAGCATGGAAATATAAGAATTTTAAGAAGTAGTTTGATTTAAATCCTAGAAGAAATACAAGACTCAAAGAATTCTAATTTTTGGAGAAATTATTATACAAGGAAATACTTTAAATGATTTTATGAGTAGGAATAGGAGCCATATTGGTTTGCAAAGAAAACTGAAGCTAAAGAAAGTTCTAGAGAACTATAAGCCTGCACCCAACTAACAATTTGAGCAAACGAGGAAAGGCTATCACAAATGCCCTTCCCTGATAGTGAGATAAACAACTAACTTATCCACCATCATGGAGCCCTCATTTATTACCTATTGGAAATAAAAGCAAGCACCCATAACTAAACACTGTGTAGAACTAGAATCCAGTTGCAGAAAGGGAGGACAAGACCAGGTATCAGAAACACAGAGACAGCTGACCTGAACAAGGAGGAGCTAATGAACCCTCCAGACTGATATCTAGGAATCCAGCATGGGACTGACTCAGAACCCCTGAATATGGGTCTCACCTAGAAGGACTAAGCAGTCTAAAGGACCTCAGACAGTGGAACCAGGATGAATTCCTGGTGCACAAAAGGACCTTGCAGACACATCCCCCATGGAGGGACACTCCCTTAACGTAGAGACAGGAGAGAAGTCCTAGTCCCTACTTCAAATGACTTGACAGATTTACATGACCTCACTTGGATAGCATAGCCCTACATGTGGAATTGGGGTGGGGGGATGGGAGGGGAGGGTGGTCAGGGTGCATGTGAGATTGTAAGAGGGTGGGAGTGAGTGAGGGCGGGAGGAAGAGGGAACTGGGATTGGCATGTAAAATAAAATAAAATAAAAACAGACTGTCCTCCTGATCTTAAAAAAAATATGATTTTCTGAAAAAAATGAAATACATCTATTATGGATATATTTGGTTAGTATAAAAATACACTTTCAATTATATTCAAGAATTTACATTTTTCATATGCAACAAATCCATAGTTTTATGTATAACAGGAATATAAATATTAAATTTTATGAAAATGCATATGAATTTGAATGAGAGATTAGGGGGCTTCAATGACAGAATTTGCAAAGTATAATGGGAAGTTTTTTGTGTACTGAGGCCTTGCCTTTGAAAGAAAAAGGAAAAGAAATAAAGCAAAATAAAGTGAAAGTATGAACAACTTATTTTCTCATATGGAAGATTAATTAAAATTCTGAAATTAATATATGATGTAGCATGATTCAAAATCTGGAGAAAAGAAAAAAGGCAATCAGAATGAAACTTTAAATTCAATTTTCCTATCATTTCACATTTTCTGGTTTATCTGAATCAGTAAAATAAATTACTCCATTGAGCTGCTTGGAAATTTGCCATGTTATAAGAGACCCTTTGTAGAGATAGACTTTATCAACAAAATTAAGGATGAGAGGTCAGTTCTTTTAGAGACAAGATGATAAGCACTTAACATACTTATTAATAATAATATACTTCTAACATGATGTTCAATGGACATATATCAATCTTCTCAGTAGTATAATTCTGCTGAACTATCACGGGTAACTTCAAAATGAATACTTTATTAGAGATAAGTGTAATTCATTCATGTAAAACATTAACTCTATTTCTATATGCTAATTGAGTACATGTAGAAAGTTCATAATACCCATTCCTATAGTACCAGAAGCATTATCATAGAATGATTTACAGTTTATATTTGATATAATTATTTGCAAACATACACCCTGAACTTAGTATTCCACCTCTAAAAATTTCTTCTATAGATTTATTCGAATTTGTCAAGATAAAGTAATACTTGACATAGAATATATCCCCCAAAATGCCATTAATTTGGATAAAAGGGAAATGATAAAAAAGTTTTCCCTATATCATTTGTCTAAAAGAATAATACAGTTGTATTTTTTCATTATCATATTTTCCCAAAGCAATGCAACTAGTAATACTATTTTGTTAAGGATTTAATACCTCTGAATTCTCCACGTTTCCAAGGGCATACATGGAGAGTGTATGGAATTGAGTTGTCGGGTTCTATGGTGATATAGGAATTTCCCCACACTATTGAGAGATCTGAAGTTACCTGGAAAGATGAATTGGAATAGAAGAATTGTGTGATATTAATAATTAAACATGTCTTTGTTTTATAATGTTATACTATTGCATGTGAATTAGTGTCATTAGGTACTTCATGAAAGTGTATTCTTATTTAATTACTTCCACATAGTTTATTTACTTTACACTGAAAAGGAAGTCAGAAAATTGTCTTATACTATAAAAGGAAAAGAAAATACTGAGAGGACGCTTATGGAAAATCAGAACAAGGAAATAACTTTTGCAGAAGGGAAATGCTATTATACATACATATAAACATGCACACACACACACACACACACACACACATATAATTTCTCTTGTTTTACATATCTATCCCTCATTCCTCTCCTTCCCTCCCATATCCCATCCCATCACCCCACACTCCACATGTAGGGTGATGCCTTACAGGAGGGGTCATCTAAATCTGTCAAGGATCATTACATTAAATATTAGAATACCACTCTAGTACTCAGGTCACTTAAAATTCCGACATATTCATACAGAACTATAATGCATGCCTTAGAAAAAATTCAACGCCCTTGCATCTTTCTTTGGCTTGCCAAAACATCTATATATAAATGTGACTGTTTGATTCTAAGGGATAGACAAGATCCTTCAATATCTTATGAGAGTATTTCATATCCAACAACTTCTTATGAAGTTTACAATCAAATTTGGTTGGTTATTACTTATACTGCAGGCTTCAGCAGTGACAAATTTAAAGAATTATTGAGTTCTTTGGCATATAGTCTCAGAACAGAATCTTTCTATAAAAACAAAACCCTTAGAGAAGCTAAATAACAAGAAATCCCTGCTAGTGGATATTTCCAGGGTTACAGAAGAAAGGTCAAAAATCGATCTATATCAAGCCTGCATATTGTCTTGATTGAAAGGTTTTCATTATTTGCATGTGCTATAAATGCAAAATTGCATAGGTGGCAGAATGAATTAGGCTGGGTTCTTAAAACCGCTCAGTCTTTACCAACAACAGTGTTTAGAATTTTCCTCAAATAGGTTTCCTCAAATAGTTTTCCTTCATTTAAGGTTTTAAATATTGTGATATACCTATCATATATTGGGGAGATAAATACATTTACAAAATGATTATTTAGAGGAGAAAGACACGAATAAAAATGGAATAGCCTTTGATTGTGGGATTTTTTTTTTTTTTTGACTTTTGATTTTGGAGACAGGGTTTCTCTTTACTGCTTTGAAGGCTATCCTAGAACTAGCTTTGTAGATCAGGCTCACCTTGAACTCAGAGATCCACCTGCCTCTGCCTCCCTAGTACTGGGACTAAAGGCATACACCATGAACACCTGGCAGATTGTGGGGATTTTTTAAAACAAGAATATACTGAAGTAAATGAAGCCACAAATTTGGAGGTGGTAAGGAACAGTAAAGGAATGATAATAGGAAAGAAAGGAAGAGAGAAAGGAAGAAATGGAAAATTAGTGCAAAGGAAGGAAAGGGAGGTAAATGATGAGTGGAGGGAGAGAGAAATAGAGAGGGAGGGGAAGAAGAGGGAACAAACTGAGCACATTGAATCAAATTACATTTTATACACCAAAAGAATAAAAGAGAATGCAGAGCAGAAGTACTGAAGAGGACTCTATGCACGGACATGCTGTGACCTGACTATTGGTATTATTACCTTCATTGTACAGAATAATTTTCAGTTTCGGGCAGCTGTGTATCAGCTGGATAGTTTTGTCCATATTCATTTATTATTTTAACTTTGTGGTATAATTTAAAAATAAAATTAAATTTAGGAGCCACATTGCCCAGTCTCTGCTAGAGGTGAGTCTGGGACCAGTTTGGGTTGAATCCCCCCCAAAAAAACACTTCCCTGGATAATCCCTGGATTGGTCCCAAATCTCCCACCCCCCTGTGTACTGTCCCCAGTGAGAGTGCTCCTGCTGCTCTGATACACACTCCCCCACACGAAGAGTCTGGCCTCCCCCCACCCTGTGCCATACAGTGCCTAGTGTACCACTGCTCTGGTTGAGCTCTGGAACAGAGGGCAGATACAACAATCCTGCCACCTTCAGGGAATTTAGTGGAGTTTCTCTGAGCAAACTAGACCTGCCAATCCACCCAGGACCACCCTGAATCCCCTTCTGCATGATCACTGACCCCACAGCTGGTCCTCTGCTAGAGTTTCTGGCCCCTCCCAAAGATGACCCTATCCCCTCAAGACCATCCTGAGTCCCTGCCTGATAGATCTTTGACACCCATTACTAGGACTCTGCAGGAGCCTGATCTTTGACACCCATCGCCAGGTCCTTGCCTGAGGAAAACCTCCTAGAGAGCTTGGGCCACACAGAGCTACAGAAATAGAACTTCTGATGCACCTAAGCCCACCAGGGGAGTGAGAGAGAGAGAAGGGGGGTCCCCATCGGTACCTACAGGAAGCAGAAATGGGGAGACGACAATACAAGAAAACACATAACAATAGAAAGACAATCATGACACCACCAAAATCTAGGGATTCTACACCAAGTAGATCTGAACACCCCAAAGCAGATGAAGCAGAAGAGAATGATATAAAAAATCGTTATAAAAATGATAGAGGCCCTCAAAGACGATGTGAGAAAATCCCTTAAAAAATGGAAGAAAAAAACAAACAAAAAACTGGATGAAATGAACAAAACTCTTAAACAAAGTACAGAAAGCCAAGAAAAAACAACTGAACAGGTGAAGGAAACAGTTCAAGACTTGAAAATAGAAACAGAGACAATAAAGTAAAGAGAAACTGAAGGAATGCTGGAATTAGAAAAACTGTGCAAATGATCAGGAACTACAGACACAAGCATAACCAACAATGCAAGAGAGAATCTCAGCCCCTGAAGAAAAACTAGAGGAAATAGATTCATCGACAAAAGAAAATTATAAATCCAACAAATCCTTAACACAAAACATCCAGGAAATATGGGATACCATGAAGAGGCCAAACCTAAGAATAATAGGCATAGAGGAAGGCAAAGAAGCCCAGCTCAAAGGTGCAGAAAACATATTCAACAAAATCATTTAAGAAAACTTCCCAATCTGAAGAAGGACATGCCCATGAAAGTACAAGAAGCATACCGAATACCAAATAGTCTGGACCAAAATAAAAAGACCCCTTGACACATAATATACAAGACAACTAACATACAGAATAAAGAAAGAATATTAAGAGCAGCAAGGGAAGTCAAGTAACATATAAAGACAGACATATCAAAATTACACCTGACTTCTCCATGGAAAGTCTGAAGGCCAGAAGGTCCTGGATAGATGTTCTACAAGTACTAAGAATCCACGGATGACAGCCCTGTCTACTATAGCCAGGAAAACTCTTAATTAGTATAGAGTTAGAAAACAAGATATTTAGTAACAAAGCCAGATTTTCACCATACCTATCTACAAATCCAGCTCTACAGAAACTTCTGGAAGGAAAACTCCAACCCAAGAAAGTTAACTATGCTCACCAACACATAGGCAATAGATAATCACACTTCACCAGAATCCAAAGGAAAAGCAGGGAAAATATATTCATAATACCACTACCAACAACAAATCTATAACTAACAGGAATTAACAATCAATGGTCCTTACTTTCTCTCAACATTAATGGTCTTAACTCTCCTATAAAAAGACACAGGCTAACAGAATGGATATGAAGATAGAATCTGCCCTTCTGCTGCATAAAAGAAACACATCTAAACTTCAAACACAGGCATGACCTCAAGGTAAGGGGCTGTAAAAAGATCTTGCAATCAAATGGACCCAAGAAACAAGCAGATGTGGCTATCCTTATATCAAACAAGTTTGATGTCAAACCAAAATCAATCAAAGGAGATGAAGATGGTCAGTTCATATTCATCACAGGAGAAATCCATCACCACAAAATCTCAATTCTGAACATTTATGCCCCAATACAAAGGCACCCACATTTTGAAAAGAAATGCTACTAAAACTCAAACCTCACATAAAACCTCACACACTTATAGTTGGAGACTTCAATACCCCACTCTCACCACTAAACAGGACAACCAATCAGAAACTCCACAAAGACAGACAAAAAAAAAAAAAAAAACTAACAGAGGTTATGTCTCAACTGGGTTTAACAGACATCTATTGAACATTCCATCCAAACACAAAAGGATATACCTTCTTCTCTGCTCCACATGGAACCTTCTTGAAAATCAACCACATACTAGGAAACATAACAAACTTCAACAGATACAAAAAAAATGGAATAGACCCTGCATCTTATCAGACCACCATGCTTTAAAGTTGGAATTCAACAACAACACAAATCCCACAAACCCCATAAGCTCATGGAAACTGAACAATACGCAATTGCACCATACCTGTGTCAAAAAGGAAATAAAGAAATAAAAGAAGGATTTCCTAAATTTCAAAGAGAAAGAGGACACAACATACCCGAACTTATGAGACACTTTGAAAGCAGTGCTACGAGGGAAGATCATTGCAGTAAGTGTCCATATGAAGAAAACAGAGGATTGTCACATTAGAGAATTAACAGCATTATTGAAAACCTTAGAACAAAAAGAAGCAAACTCACCCCAGAGGAGTAGACACCAGGAAATAATCAATTTGAGGGCTGAAATCTATAAAATAGAAACCAGGAAAACAATACCAAAAAAAAAAAAAAAAAAAAAATCAATGCAACAAAAAGTTGGTTTTTTTTAGAAAATCAAAAAGACAGAAAAACCTCTATCCAACTAGCCAAAAAGCAGAGTGAGAACATGTGAACTAACAAAATCAGAAAAAAAAAGGAAACATAACAAAGGACACTGAATAAATACACCCAATTTCCAGGTCATACTTTGAAAACCTGTACGCCACAAAATTTGAAAATTCAAAGAAAGTGGACAGATTTCTGGATAACTATCACTAATTAAAATTAAATCAAGAACAGATAAACAACTGAAATGGACCTAAAACACCTAATGAAACAGAAGCAGTCATCAAAAAAGCCGTCCAGATGGCTTCAATGCAGAATTCTACCAGAAATTCAACGAAGAGCTAATAACAACAATGAAATACCACTCTGTGGAAAAAAAAAATGGAATTTTGAAATTCACAGGCAAGTGGATGGAATAACAATCCTGAAAGAGGAAACACAGTCACAAAAAGAGGAACATGGTATGCACTTGCTCATATATGGACTTTAGACCTAGAGCAAAGGATCACTAGGGAAACTAGGTTATAAGTAGGATTCTAGCATATTCACATAAGGTCCCTCACAGAAGTGGAAACAGACTAGATCTCCAGAGCACATTGGGAGTGGGGGAGGGGGAAGTGAGTGGAGCAGGAGCTAAGAGAATAAGAAAGGGAGGAGAGGAAAGCATGTGGGACTAGGAAGATTGAGTCAGGGGAGGAATAGAATAGAATAGATAAAAGAAAGTGAAGGAGAGAGAGAAACAGAGAGAGAGAGAGAGAGCATAAATGAGGGAGCCATTATAGGTTTGAACAGTAAACTAAATCTAGAGAAATGTCCATAGACCTACAAGACTGACCCCAACTAACAATTTGAGCAACTTTGGAAAGGCTACCATAAATACCCTTCCCTGATAGTGAAATCAACAACTAATTTATTTACTATCATGGAGCCCTCATCTAGTATTTGATGGAAACAGAAGCATACACTCACAACTAAACTCTGAGCCGATCTGGAATCCAGATGCAGAGAGGGAGTACAAGATCAGACTACAGAAACATATATAGACAGCTGACCTGAACAAGGAGGAGCTAGTGCGCCACCAGATTGATAGCTGGGACTGACTCAGACCCCTGGAACATGGGTCTCAGCGAGAAGTCCTCAGCAGTATAAGGGACCTCAGACAGTGGAACTAGGATGTATTCCTGGTGCACAATAGGACGTTGGGTGCACATCCCCCATGGAGGTATACTCCCTTAACCTAGAGACAGAAGTCCTAGTACCTACTCCAATTTATTTGACAGATTTAGATGACTTCTTCTGGAGGGCATAACCCTATGTGTGGAGTGGAGGAGGATTGGTGGGGAGGGTGGTCGGTTGCATGAGAGGGTGGGAGAAATGGAAAGAAGGAGGGAGTGTCAAATGGAATCGATATGTAAAATAAAAAATAATATAAAACATTAAATTTATTATGATGATTTAGTTGTTGCCATCAACATCAGAATATAGGTGTAGCTAAGCTGAGTCCAAGTGTCTTGTTCTACATAACTATTTAGACCTGTTAAAATTAAAAATAGAACCCCTAAATGAACTACCATTCCAACTTCTGGATATGTATTGAGTATTATCTCAGTATTACTATATTTTAAAATGTTAAGAATCCAGTCATCCATTATGCTTACACATTGTAAGAATAATTTATGTTTAATTGCACAAGCAAAATTACTATGTGAAAATTTCTACTTTTAATTGCTTTCCATTTTAATGTGCATTTCTTCTGTAAGGTAGAATTTAAAGTAATAATGTAGACACTATTACTGCCATGGAAACAAAATCAAATAAGTGATGTAGGAAAATTGATCATTTTAAAAATGTGTTTTTACAAAACTCTTGGCAGGTTTTCTTACTTGCTGATAAATTCTGAATGTTGATAAGGGATAACACAAAAAATTATCTCCTTCCATACCTACCTACCTTCATGCCCTCCACCCCTGTTTAAATGTCACTTTTCATGTTTTCATGTGTTTCTAGAACAAAAATAATTAAGCACTTTTATGTTCTCAAGGCCTCAATGTTATGCTTTATAATATGAACAAAAGTGTAAATATAAAACATTGTCTCTGAGCTGAGAGAGTACAGTTGCCTAGCATGCACAAATCCCTAGACATGAAAAAGTGAGAGTTAAGGGAGATAAATAAAAAAAAGGGAAGAATGAATAGGGAGTAAAATGTAGAGGGATGTGCAAGGTAAAGAGGGGATGGATAAAAGAAGGTGAGAGAGAAAATATGAATATATTATACTTATACAGTGAAGAATAGTAAACAGTATAATAACATGTGGTGGGTAACAGCCACATCAGTGACTATGGAGATAATACTGAAAGGTTTTAGTACTGACAAGAGGACATTTTAACTTATAATACATATTACACAGTAATTCTTTGAAATCTAGTAAGAAGTAAACAAAGGATATATTTTTGAGATTGAAAAGAAGCATAGGATGAGCTCAGGGTGTTTCCACACTTCTGTCATCTCCTCTGAAGATGAATGCAGGAACCTATGGTTGATGGACAAAGCTTGCTTTGATGAGCACATTGGACACATTGTAATTTGCAGGTAAAAAATAATGGTAATACATATTTTTATTTTTGGTGCTGAGGATTAAACTCAGATTCTTGTGCAGAATAAGCACAGATTGTCACCAATGACCTATGCCTCTTCCACCAGTACAGTGGAATATGCTTGAAATTTCTGCATTTAGGAGATAAAAAGGAAAATCTTGAGTTTGATGTGTTCATGGGTTACCAAGAGATACTCTATTTAAAAACTAATTTTTCTCCTACATTTTCTTGAAACTATCTTGTATTATTATGTATAGTATACTCACGAAAAATAAACATGACATAAATAAGTAAACTTAAGTTTCATAATTACACACTATTATTTAAATATAAAACTTGTATGGAAGTAGAGGTAGCATCTAGCTGTACCCCAAGTACTTGTCTGTCTAGGAAAGGAGAACTGCAGTTTGATGCTATGGCAAATCACTTTCTCAAACAAATCAAACGAGCACAAGAAAAAATAGAAAACAAAGTAGAAACAACAATAAAAAATTTATTTGATGCTAAACCCATTTAGCAATTAAAGTTATATTCATTAGCTGTTGTAATAATAAAAAATTAGAGTTTTCAAATTTTTCACATAATTAACATAGTACACATAATTTAAAGTGTATTAACAAGGAAGGATTTTCTTACTAAAAATGTCTTACCTTAAATGTCAGGAGACTTTTTGTATAATTAGGCACTATTATTGACTTATCTGTCACATTTCCCACTTTGCAATCTATAACAATGTGATCCAAGGCCAGGGGTTTTGTCCCAATACCATCAATTTCAATTATGTGTGCCATACCATCTACTTCATTTTGTAAAGTAAGTTTACCCTATGATAAACAAGACACTTTTCAAATTTGTAGCAGTCAGCAGTCATAATCCAATGCCATTCAATCTCTCACACTATTATTCTAGAGTCTACAGAACAAAAGAAGCTTGTAAGAAATTGTTAGACATTGAAGCTTCCAGTTCTTATAAAATTATTTTATTAAACAAAGAATGTACTAATGAATTGCTGTCAATTTTTATCTTTCTGGAAATTTCAGATTATATATAAGCATTCTCACATAATTACATGTGTATTTACCACCTTGTCAAAGAAATACTGCTAAGGGAGTCTTTTCAGATGTAGCAACTGATCTAATGAATAGGAAATATGTTTTATATCATTGAGCATGTTTTCTGAAAATAACCTAGATATAAATATTCATAGATAACTACTTAACTGCAATATCTCACTACAGATAACAACATTGTGACATGATAAATGATGCACTTTCAACCATTTTAAGTAAAACTATCAAGTTTATAGAATGTATAACTAACTACATTGACTACTATCTATATATTTGCTTATTTAAATATTAATAATGTAAGTGAAAATTCATGTTTCATACCATAATTTCACATTCCAAAATGGGTTTGAATGTCAAAGGATACTGAATAGTTTCACCAGGGCCAACATGTAAAATCGGAGGTCCATAAAACCACTCTCCTTCTATTTTAATTTGAAATTTCCAAGCTTTCTTTGTTTCATTTTTCTAAACCATGAAAACAGTTACACATATAAGAATTATGTTGGTAAAGCTGAATTACATACCAATTCTTATTTCTTTATATTTATTTATTTATTTATTCATTTTGCATATCTATTCTAGTTCCCTTTCCCTTCCTCCCTCTCTTCCACCCTCCCATCCCCCCTGACCACACAACCCTCCAACTCCCCCACTCCACATGTAGGGTGATGCCTTCCAGGAGGGGTCTCCTAAATCTGTCAAGTAATTTGGAGAAGGGACTAGGCCCCCCCTCCTGCCTCTAGGTTAAGGGAGTATCCCTTTATGGGGAATGTGCTCCCAAAGTCCTTTCCAATTTCTTAAGCCATAGAAAAAATACATTTAAGATGGGATGGCTACGCAAGTACTGTAGTACCATTTTGTGCATTCTACAATTCCAAAAATGATGTTGTGTTGCAATTGAATTTATATTCTGGAAGAAACCATGAAAAAATGAGGAAAAACAATATCTACCCTTAAATACAATTATAACAGATATGGAAACCTGAATATAAGAGGCTAGGATGAGATTGAGACAGCAAAAAATGTACAGAATCTCAAAATACTGCATCTTGAAATTCATTTATTGGCTATTATACCTTTTCTATTAATTTTTAATACTGCACAGAGAAGGGAGAAATATCCCAATGGTTCATTCTCTGGTTTTATTATATATTTAGGAAAATATAATTCAATTTCCTCTTAATGTTGTTTAGTAACTATACAGAGTCATGTTTTATGGACAGAAGCTCCAGTAAAACATGAAAATAGTCAAATAGTCAGAAAAACAAGTTTTCACTTACTATTGGGATATGTTGTGTGAGGGGTTCAAACGCTGGTGTTTTAAATAATAATTCAGCCTCTGGTTCTTCTTCATTTACAATACCTTCAATTACATACACACGCACATCATATCTTGATATCAGCAAAATTTTACAAGGGTATCGTCCAGGCCCAAGGGGAGCAAATCGCAGAGGAATTGAAACAGTTCCTTCTAATGCTAGCAAAACAATTTAAAATCAGTAGTCATTTTAAATATCATAAGACCTAAAATTAATTTGGGCATGCAATATTTAATAGTATTTTGTGAAATTGCATCTAGTTGGAATAGACTAGGTATCTCTCATATTACGTCTTCTGTTGAAATTTTATCACACAATCTTATATTTGAATGAGAGAAGACACCTTGCATAGTATTGTAGAAGACATCATCCACTGTAAATGTCAATAGGGTCTCTATGTTTTGAAAGGCATCCCTATATTGCTTTTATCATACATCTGAATAACAACTCAGAGCGAGAGGAATGTGTATTTCAATTTATTTTATTTTGGTGTTCAATTAATATGAAATATTTAATTGGTCTGAGCTAGTCAAATGACTTCATTTAACACTAAGTGAATAAATGAAGAGGATATATGGATGATCCAGTTTTATCAGCCATACTTTTTGAACTTGGGGTTCTCTACTTCAAATATTTTTTAACTTCATCTTTTTTTTTTCTTTTTCTTTTGCTTTTTCAAGACAGGGTTTCTCTGTATTGCTTTGGATCCTGTCCTTGAGCTTGCTGTCTAGACCAGGCTGGCCTTGAACTCACGGAGATCTGCCTGCCTCTGCCTTCCAAGTGCTGGGATTAAAGGCATGAGCCAACAATGCCCCGCAATATATGTAGCCCAGGTTGGCCTCGAATTTGTGATCCCCCTGCCTCTGCCTGCTTCAGCAAATCCTACCTGCATGAGCCACCACAACCAGGTAAGTTCATCTTTTATGGACACCCAATAACTAATGATTGGCATTAACTTGAAAGCTAAGGTCATCCTTATGTTTATATTATACTTCAAATCATTAAGTGAGAGACTCTAAAAAATATACTCTTTCCCTCCAAATCTTAAAAATAAAATCATTATAATCATTGTAAGCAGAATTCATGAAAATACTGTCATCTTTAAAGATTTATTGAAAAAGCACACTATTTGTTTCTTTGCATTAAACATCCAAAGTAACTACCATTTTGTAAAGAATATCCTGATTGATTCTAGTGTGTGTGTGTTCTCTTAGAAATAAATCATGCCTTCCCAAAACAGAAATATTTTTCTAACATTATGCTGCCATATAATCTCGTATTTTATTTTAGACATATCATTCAGTTCTACAATATATACCAAGCACAACAAGTAATACCCATACTTTTCTTCATTGTCTTCTACTTGTCCACATATAATTTCAGAGATCACTTCTGAAACTATTTGTTTTCAAGGGATTTCTATGTATGGCACATGATTTTCAGTCTTTATACAAGCACACACATACACACACACACACACAGAGAGAGAGAGAGAGAGAGAGAGAGAGAGAGAGAGAGAGAGAGAGAGAGAATGAGAAAGTGGCCAAATGATACAGACCTACATAGAGAAGCTAACTGTGTTGATGCTCCAAGTTCAGGAAATATTACAACATACAACCCCCAAAAACTTAATCCTTTCTACAATATTTTCAGGAGATGTTTCTTTAGTTCTATTTTAATGCTGCTTAAATGAAGGATTGTGAAGTAAATATGGAGTTTCTACTATGTGGAAGCCAGGGAGAAAGAGCTGAGGTGTGTATGAGCTGAAGTATCCACAAGCTTGAACATGAAAACCATTGCTGTTTATGTTATGGTTGATCGAGGGAGAAAACCTGGTTAAGACCCAAATATCCTGTCCTGTTAACTCTTTTATACAAAACTCTGAGTCCAAAAATTTTAAAATTATACCTCATCTTCCAGGTAAAATGGTGTAGTGTATTCCATATAAAAAGGTGTCAGTTTTGTTCACAAAATTTAAATTTTAGAAAAAGACATGTGGGGTTCGGATTTTATATTTGAACTGACCAAAATTGATTTAGAGTCTGAATGAATTCAAAGAATCATATTATATCTAGTTTCCAAAGTTATATGAAAGTTAGTACTATTTTATTCAAGGTATTTTGTACCATAACTAAAATAAATTTCATTACAAAAATATATAAAACTTGGGTCTACTTAAAATTTGATGCTCCTATTAACATCTATGGAATTCCTATGGAAAAACAGAAAAATATCAGGATTTCTATACTCATAAATTTATTACAGAATATAATTTGATAAACTAATTTACTTAATTTCCCATAAAAGTGCCTCAAACATTAGAATGATCAAGTAAAATATTTACTACTCTCTAGTTAATTTTAAGTATATTACTCCCAAAGAGTAAACACAGTTCTTCATTTGAAAATGAGCTACTGAATGTGACAACCTATTTATTGCTAATTTATATCAGTGTACCTATCAAAATATTTTATTGAAAGTCAATTTATGAAAATCATATTGATAGAGAAAAGATGACCCATTTATTAACCATACTTCCAAAAACTCATTGATTTTTTTAACCAAAAGTCCAAGTCATTCATGCTACTTGTAATTTTGTTCTTTCCAGTTCTATAGACAGAAGATCATCTGTCTTACATATAACTCAATAAATAAAATGAAAGTTTCCCTAGGCTTGCCTCAAACTCGTGATCCTCCTGCCTCTGCCTCCATTAGCAAATCCTACTGGTGTGCACCACCACAACCGGATACAAGGTGTATTCTAAGAGGTTCATATAAAGTCCCTCACAGAAGGGGGAAGGGATAAGTCCCCCAGAGCACATGGGAAGTGGGGGGGCAGTGAATGGAGAGAAAAGTAGGAGAAAGAGAAGGGGAAGAGAGGAAAGCAAGTGCCACTAGGGAGATTGAGTCAGGGTAGGAATAGAAGACAGGAGAGAGAGAGCGGGGGAGAGAGAGAGAGAGAGTGAGAGGGAGGGAGGGAGGGAGGGAGGGAGGGAAGGAGGGAGGGAGGGAGGGAGAGGAGAGGAGAAAACTGAACCTAAAAAAAGGTTTAGAGACCTACAAGACTGCCACCAACTAACAATTTGAGCAACCATGGAAAGGCTGCCATAAATGCCCTTCCTGGATGGTGAGATAAACAACTAACTTACCCACCATCATGGAGCACTCACCTAGTACCTGTTGGAAACAGAAGCAAACACCCATGACTAAACACTGAGTCGAATCCAGATGCAGAGGGAGAGGGTAAGACCAGGTTGCACAAACACATAGAGACAGGTGACCTGAACAAGGAGGAGCTAAAGGTCCCCCAGAGTGATAGCTGGGAATATAGCATGGGACTGACTCAAAACCCCTGCATATGGGTCTCACCTAGAAGGACTGAGCAGTCTAAGGGACCTCAGATAGTGGAACCAGGATGTATTCCTGATGCACAAAAGGACCTTGTAGACACATCCCCCATGGAGGGATACTCCCTTGACCTACAGACAGGAGAAAAGTCCTAGTCCCTGCTTCAAATGACTTGACAGATTTACATGACCCCACCTGGATGGCATAGCCCTACAGTGGGTGGGGGGATGGGAGGGGAGGGTGGTCAGGGTGCATGTGAGGGGGGAGAGAGGGTAAGAGGGAGGGAGAGGGAACTGGGATCTATATGTAAAATAAAAAATAATAATAATAAAAATAAATAAATAAAGTGACAGTTTCATTGTATTATAACATCTTAAACAGCTGATGAGTGAAAGCCGGAGTTTACAGACTCCAGACTGACAGCTGGCGAACCAGCATTGGGCTAAACTAGGTCCCCTGAAAGTGGGTCTCAGTTGGGGGGGCCTGGACAGACTATGGGGTCTCTGGTAGTGGATCAGTATTTATCCCTAGTCCATGAATGGGTTTTGGGGGCCAATTCCCTATGGAGGAATACTCTCTCAGCCTAGATCCATCTGGGAGGGTCTAAGCCCTGCCTCAAATGATATGGCAGACTTTGATGATCCCTCATGGGAGACCTCACCTTCATGGGGTAAGGGGGATGAGGGGTTGGTAGGAGGCATGAGAGGACAGGAGGGAGATGTAACTGAAATTGATATGTATGATAAGATTCTTTTTAATTTAAATAAAAATAAAAATATAAAAAGGTATATGGCATTTGAAAATAAATAACATCTCATTACTGCATTTCTTCATTTCATAAAAATAATGAAAATTGACTATACATTCCTTAAATGATAGCTCTATTGATAAATACAGTTTAACATTATTAATTCAAGGAAACTATTTTTCTAAAATGACTTTTTACAATGAATTTGATGATACAAGACACATTGCAATGCACACTACGATAACATCATTATCATGAACATACAGCAAGTGTGCAGTAACTATTCAAATGTGAGTTATCAGCTTGCTGCTTAGCCAACATGCCTGCCTGCTATGAGCTATGAATCAGTTATTATTTCTACAGTGAGTGTTCATGAGATTTATCCATGTTTACCAATTTATTTTACCGACTATTATACATGGATTATTAATTCGTTTTTTTAAAAAAATAAAGTCCATCTTCTTAGTCTACAATTGATTTCTTTAATTTTTTATCTTCATTTTAAGTTGTCTCAATTTTGTTGTTAGGCTTAAACATTTTGAATCATTCATGAATGGTAGATTAGTAGAATAAAAATACATTGGCTATTCATTTGTATCTAATTTTTTTTTTGTTTGTTTGATTCTAAAATTAGGGGATATGTACTCCTCCTGAGTGTTTATTTGTACAGGTTCATACTCTCATATCACTTAGCTTAAATGTGTAGTAAGTTCAACATTCATATTTGGGGCTAATTGTCTGCACTAAAACAGTATCTATGGGTCTCAGCCAGAAGGACTGAGCAGTCTAAGGGACCTCAGACAGTGGAGTCAGGATGTATCCCTGGTGCTCAAAAGGACCTTGCGAACATATCCCCCATGGAGGGATAACTGCCTTAATCTAGAGACAGGAGAGAAGCCCTAGTCCCTACTTCACATGACCTGTCAGATCTACATGACCCCAACTGGATGGCATTCCCCTACATATGGAATTGGGGTGGGGGATGGGAGGGAGGGTGGTTAGGGTGCATGTGAGAGGGCAGAGAGGGTAAAAGGGAGGGAGGGCGGGAGGGAGAGGGAACTG